TCTGTTAAATTATGTTTTACAGTATAATATTTTGCTAAAATAAGTTATTATAATAAGGATATTTCTCACTCTGAACTGCTTGAATTCATATTATTCTAAAACTAATACAACACTAACTCTCCTTCACACACAAACCCAGTAACAGATTTACAAATGAGGGAGATTTAGAGACTGAAATCATTAGAATCTGTGACATTTTTGTGACATGAAGAAAAAAAGAGGATAACAAATGAATTAATAACTCGTGTATCACCAAAATATACTGAGGATCTGAAACATGTCTTAGCTTAGAGTAATTTATTGATCATTGTTGCAAATTGCAGTTACACATGAATCAAATAAACAACACAAGGAAACTCAGAGACGTAGAGAAAATTTTAGTCATTTTATTATTATATTTTAACTAGAAACTGAACTGAAACTAAAAACTAGGACCAGAATTTAACTCTAAATATAAACAGTGGTAGTTCCTGGTAATAATTTGACACCATGGAGGCAGATAAAGGCTTTGGAAGTGCAGTTTTTACTGGACAGTGTGAACTTGGACCCGTCGCAGTGAAGGTTTCAGATGACAAACATGTTTGAATGTAGCTTCTTTACAATTTATTCTCTGCAGTAGGTTTGACTACAAGTAGAAATAACTTAAAACTCAGCATCAGGTTCTGACTTAAAATAAAATAAAGATGAAAACAGGGAAACTGTCCTCACTCTGATTTCTGAATCTGAGCAGGAATCATCCTCCTCTGAGTCTGAAAGCAGGAGTTCACAAATGTTCACCGCTTCCCACATTTACCAACATTCGGCTTGTGGTTTGTATTAAAAGCTTCACTGTGCAGCTCACTGAAGCAGGTGGGCTGATTCAACCAATCACAGGTGCTGTATGATAAAAGCATAAGGCTGCAGCTCAGAGGACACAAGATGGCAGCATAGTTTGATTATCCAGCTGTTTTTATTTACAGTCAGATGTGTGATTCTGCCTGCAGCTCCAGCAGAGTGTGTTCAGCTTTAAGAGTTGGAGCTTGGGCAGCAGTCAGTGCTGGAAGAAGTACTCAGACTCTTTACTGAATCAACACTCGCTGTAACAGCAGCTGTGATAAAATCCAGATGTGGTTCTGAGCCGTAATCCAGAGTCCACGGTGGCCTCAGCTCAGGGTGCAGAGAAGCTCGGCTGTAGACAGATCGCCTCACACGTTTGCAGATCTCAGCACAGCAGGAGTTTAGCAACAGTCACATGTAAACAGGCTGAAGTAGAGGCGGCAGGACAGAGATTCAAACCTTCTTCCTACTGATGAGCAGCACGTCTCAGAAAGAGGACGATGCTACGACATTACCCTCCTCACTACTGAGACCAGAACCAGAACCAACCTCTTAGCTGTGGAGCCCAGCAGGAGGCGACTGGCCATAAGATCAATGCTAACATCACTGTTCCTGCTGAGACTCATCCCAGCGCTGTTTGGATCTGCTGACAGTTTTAGCTTCTAGATTTCAGGAGCGTGCACACCTTTAGATGTTCTTTGTGTCGGCTGTGATGTTCAACCTGCTGTTTATGATGTGCAGCTACGTTCTGACTGTTACATTCACTTTTTATCATCTGTTTCAGGGTCTCCCAAAGAGTCCTTGACTGAGTCCGCCACTGGATGGAAAGTTGCTGTTGCAGTTCTTTCTCTTGTTGTTGTTGTTGCTGTAGTTGTTATAGCTGTGCTTTGTGTACGTCGCACCAGATGAAATTCTCTGAGAGGTAAGTTTAAATAATGTTTTTATCAACATATTCATGATGAGCAGACGACACATTCTTTGTGTCTCATGTTTAGAGTCTTGACAGATGTTTTATCTTCTCAGGCATTAAGCATTCTGTTGGTATTTACACCAGCGTAGGATCAATGCAGGAGGGATTTTGTTTAATATAACTTTGTTTTCCTTCCTGCAGGTTCAGATCAACAGGCACAGGGACAAGAGTCTCAGCATAATACCCTGATTTCCTAACTAGCTTTATGTGCTGTGCAGTCGGCTAATGAAGTGTGTGTTTGTGCTGTATTTCTGTATGACAGTGAGGACATTTTGGCTGGTCTCCACTTATTTGTTCGAGGGTCAAGACCTGGTTTTAGGGTTGTGGTTAGACAGATTGTGGTAATTGTAACAAGATGAAAGTGAGGTTGTTGTGCATGTAGCTCACCTTGCTTTTATATGGAAGCATTATGACATCCCATTACCACAACCAGGATCTTTCCCTGACCTTAACAAGTGTTTTAAATAAACTGTCCCTGTTAAAGTCATGGACAGTTAGAAAACAGCATGGCAAAATGTAAAGTCTTTACCTTTACCTCACAGCACTCAGCATCTGTTTAAATATACACATAAAGTCGAAGTGAAGGACACAAAGTCCATCCAAGAAAACAGAAGACATGTTTGTTAAACAATATCTGGATTGAATTAATGGCACCGACTTGAGAATTAGCACCACCAGCTGTTTATCTCTATGAACGACCTCCCAATATGTTTCTGGATATTCAGTTAATTTGTGCCACATTTGGTTGTAAACTTGTCTTACAGCAGACTTTTAACTCCACCTGTGAGTGAGACCGCTCTGACCAACAAAACAACACTTTGCCTTCAGACGTTCAGACACATTTAACTTATCTTCTCATTAACCTGTAGTTTCCCTGGACAGATGTTGTTGGAATAAGTCATAAAAAATACATCTTTTTTATTAATTATTTTGAATATATTATTTAACGTTCAAAAATATATCGTTAAATTGAACTTAGGGTTTTGCAGAATCGTGTTGTGTTGTGTTCTGTCTTTTTAGCAGACAGGTTGGAGTTAACGAGGTGAAACAGAAGAGAGAAAGTGGCCTTTAATGCTGACAGAACTGATTATCAATGAATCATTGATTAATTAGATTTTTTCATTCTTGTGCAGCTCTAAGAGAAAAAATATTGACTTAATTAATGACGACTTCTTGCACTCTGCTCTGTGTTGCTTTATGTTTTTATTTTTATGTTCTGATTATTTTATGTGACACATTTTTACTCTTGAACTGTCGTCAGTGTAGATTAATTTAATTCCAGGCAGCACAAAGTGAAGTGATGATCAAACTGCCCACTGAACTGTTGTTAAGGACATTAATATGATGAATAAGACGGAACTGCAAAGAAACGATGTGATGAATAACGAGAGAGCAGCGCAAGTGTTGAAAGCTGAGGGTCTTGGACCAAAAAAACGCTGCCATCAGTGAGTGAGTGAGTGTGAGTGGATGAATGAGGAGCAGATCTGCTGCATAAATAGTGTCCATTCACCAAATATTAGACTGCTTGTATTTCTTAAAGGTCCTAACTGAGCAAGACATGGACATTAACATGAGTTCACTGAACTAAAGCTGTTGCTCTGTTACTGTGAATATTTTGTAGCTAAAGTGAAATTTTCAATGTAATTTTTTTTATTTTAATATTTGTGTCGTTGACATTATTTGGGACAAGCTGGTATTGATTCTTTATTTCTTAAGGTGGAAAGCCAGAGTCTGTCAGGTACAGTTACACACTGAACTTCACACTTAGTGTCCAGTTTATTAGGAACAGCTGATACTGTCTAACACTCCTGCAATATATCCTTCTTCATATAAGATGTAATTTTCAGTTTGTGTTGAAACTGTTTAAGATTAAAATGTCTTAATACTGACAGGCGTTTCTGTTATTCTGTCCACCCCATGTATATCAGTGAGTGCAGGTTAAATAACAGAAACACGTCTCTGAAACAGTTTGAACTCAAACTGAACATTAAAACCTTGATGAAGGAGATTTATTGCAGGACTGTCAGACTGCATTAGTTTCAGGTGTTCCTAATAAACTGGACACTGAGTGTTTGCTGCTGCTGCTGACTGTGATATTTGAGTTCTCTGAAAGTTCATGTATGTTGATGTTTCTAACTGATGATGAACTTGTATCGTGTCATTTCCTGCAGAGCTGAATCATTTCTGTCCAAACGTTAGAATAAAACATGAAAAATGTCAAACTGTATGTTGTGGCTGTTTTTGATGTTTCAGTCTGTTCAAACTCTTAGAAAAGAAACTAAAAAGATTTTACTGTGTTGGACCGATTCTAACATGATCAATATTTTACTACAGATGTTTTTAGGGATCCAAGCAGCGAATTTAAAAAAATGTTTCCTTATATTATTCCATAAGTAAAGTCACACTGCAGCCTAATCTGGCAGGTATAGACTGCTGCAGACACAAGAAATGGGGAGTATTTATGTTTCAATATTATTTGTGTTAACAGATGAGCTATATGTGTGTAAATGTGTAATCTGTAAATATAAAACACTTTGCACAAACACAAAATGAAGATTTGTAAACTCACAAAAAAATAGAAAACAGATCTGCAAATAAATAAATTCCACAAATAAATAAAAATATCTGTGAATATATTTAATAGTCTTACAAATAAATGAACCACATTTGTGATGATCTTCCTAACATTTGCAGCTTTATGCATTTTTGAGTCCCACATTTACACACAGATCTCTTATCTGTTCACACAAATAGTATTGAAACATAAATAAACATAAAACATAAATAAATACCCCCATATTGCAGAGTCTGAGCTGCACAACAATATGCATGTAGAATTAATGTAGGTTTACCTTCATGATCAGAAGTGATCATGACGGTATAATTGTGATACTTCGAAAACTGTGCAAGTTATAAAAGAACTTCCTGTAGGATATAACGGAGTTAAAATGAGCTCAACCTGAAACATCTACAGCAGTAAATGCAAAATGAATCCATGAACATCAAAGTGAAACACTGACAGCAACATTTACAGCACTTTGAGTACTTTTACTTTATATACTATACTTTAAGTATTGTTTTCTGATAATGCTTAAGCAAGTTTTTGAATGCAGGACTTTTACCTATTTGTGGTACTTTTACTTGAGTAAAGTTAAAATACCCCTGTGAAAGTGACGCTTTTATTGTGAAGGATCAAACCGGAAGTGTTGCTGCAGTCGCAGGTTCCGGAAGCTGAGAAATCGAAAGTCTCGCTGATGTGAGGCAGTGACACAGCCAGAAGTCGTTATTGCACATTTCCGTAATTTGCGTTACAGTGAAGTTTAATGATGTTTAATCTTCAGACGTCTTCTACCGCCATGAAGCTTCTTCCTCTCGCGTGTCTTTGTCTCCTGACTCAGTCTGGAACAACTCTTGCTGATGGACAGGGTAAGAAATTAATTTATTAAAATCCTGGCTATATGTTACGTAACAACACATGTGATGCCATTTAATTACAGCATCCTTCCGATTAATTACAGTTGTATTAACGCAGTTTGCTGGTATTTCCGTTATTCGTGGGAGCGGGTGTTCAGGGCGTCTCCAGCAGAGAAACGCGCCTCTGTCTCCGAGAAACTCATGGGGGGTGAAGTTAGAAAAGGAAGTAAGAATTATAACCAAGCATAAAATCTGTCTGGTTTTTTTCTTCTCATTTTTCTCTCAATTTTTAAATTCGACATGTTTAGCTACAGAAAGAGAGAATTAATATAAACTATTCAGAACTTTGTGAAGCTCTCCTTATTTTCTCGGTTAGGTTGCGGAAGGCTGCTGGTGCAACATTTTACCCCTCTTATTTTGGTCCCTAACACAGGCAACTTCAGTAGTCTAAAATAAACATTTAATAGAAAATATTTATTTTATTATATATTTATTGAGATTCCCCTCAGATAAGTAAACAGCAGTTACAGTTTTAACCGTTGTTTTTTTTTTGGTATAATTATCAAAGGCAAAAACCAGAAACGGGTCGTTTTTCCGTTTTTTTTTTAATTTGCACAATGTCTCGTTTTCCTTTCTAAGTGACAAAACAAATTAAAGCTGCAAGCAGCGTTGGGCGGGCCCTCGCACTTGTAAGCGCGTCCGCGCGTGAGCCGGCCGAGTTGCACATTCTGGAGCTCTGCCGGTGCGGCTGTGAATTTCCTACGCGGTTCCGACACCGCATGAATGTGCTATATGTCAGTTCCTGTGTCCCCTATGTGGAGCTACATAGCACTTGCCGCTATGAATATAAATCGGTATTGGCGTGTAGATGTCTGCGGGGTGGGAGAGTTATCAAGCACGTAAAGTTTGTTTCAGATGTGACCATGTACACTGAACAATAATGTACACAAACAATAAAATAAATTCCTTGCCTTGTTGTTTATGTGTACATACAGAGGAAGAATGTGAGAACAGCACACATTTCATCGTTACTGTGTGTTAGAGCATGGGAGAACAGTGGATACTTTTAATACAGCCCACACCCCTAATACTGTGTAACTATAACAAGTAGAGAACAGAAGAAAAAGATGTTCTTTCTTTACAACTGTCTGCATAGCTTATTCATATTGTGTAATGAATGAAAATAAATAGGCCTACTAGGCTCCTCTCTACTTTGACATTTAAGATTAGCTTGTTTGATCCACCTTCATACACATGTGACATTACTGTACAACTTGAGAAAGGTGAGTTGTTTTCTGCTCCAGCCTGCCTAAAAGAAAAGCGTTTTTGGGATGAAATGGACTTTATTAGCTGCTGCAGTGCAGGATGAACTCAGAATAGACCCATTTCTCACCTTATTATTCTAAATCATGCAACGAAGAAGAAGAAATGCATAAGAAATCCTGGGACAAAATCTGTCCACAAATACTGTACAGCATGTAGTCTGATGAACAAGACTTGTGTTATAGCTGACTTGGGCAGTGAAATGTTTAATTTTTTTAATTCATGTGGTCATAGTTGTCCACAACTCAAATCAGAATATAAGAAGAAATGTTTTATACCACCTCAAGAAGGCTTCCTATCAGAAAGGTAGGAAGGTATTTCAAATGTACAACTGCAGTACTTAAATCTAAGTAAATTAATTTCCCTGACATTTTTGTGTTACTTTACTTTTAATAGACCCATGTAAGAGGTTTTATACTTCCTGTGAGTATAATTCAATCAATCTTATTTTCATACTGTATATCCGTTGTGTAATTTGATAAATTGTGTTGTATGTCGTGCTCGCATCTCAGAGAAGACTCTGACTGCAACATGCGTCTTTGTAAAGAGAGAAACAGACAGAAAAAGTCTCTAACTCTGCCTGTCAGCTCGCTCTGCTCCGTTAAAACTGAATTTACCATACAGAATTGAATACGAGTGCACTCCAGATTTAGCTGCAGCCAGCTGACCGTGTGCTTCTCCCTATACCGCAGGTCTGTGTCCATGCATGCAGCAAACTGAAAGCACTGTCTGTCGGTGCTTCTACGTGAAAAGAGAAGGAAGACATTGCTGGTAGTATTGTCTTCAGAGTTGTTAAACACCTCAGTGCACTGAAGGAAGCCATCTGACTGTGTGAGGGGCAAGATCGTTGATGTCTGCAGGCAGAGTAGGAGCTCTCCTGTCTGACTGGTCCACCAATAGCAGAGAAGATGACCCCTTGAGACACAGCCCCTCCTCATTTGCATAGTGAGGCAGAAATGCATACAAAAATTTAAGACAGGCAGAAATAAATACCATGGGTGAAAATAAATAAGGTAAATAAATACAAAGGAAGAATAAAACAGACAAAAATATTAAAAACACACATAAATAAATACATTAAAAAAATTAGTAATAAATAAAGTTGAATAAACAAATAAGGTAATTATAACAAAGGTGAATAAGTAAAGGCACTAATTAAAATATATACATTTATGTCTCCTTGTATAATTTAATTACTACCTACATTTATTTATTTACTTAATTTTTTTGTGTATTTAATTGGATGCTTATTTATTTATTGAGCATTTATTTATTTCTGTATTTATTTCTGACTGTGTCAGGATCGGTCCTCCATAGCGGGGTGGGAGAGTTATCAAGCACGTAAAGTTTGGTTCAGATGTGAGCATGTACACTGAAGTTACAACAACTTCCTGTGTCATGGCGAAGACTTGATCTCTGACGCCACGCCACGGACACACCCATTGACGAAAACTCGCAAATAGCACAACTTTTCATCTTCAATGCCTTTAGAAGGCACAGCACAAATTTGAAGTCGGTCGGACTAAATCCCTAGGAGGAGTTCGTTAAAGTACGAAGTGTGTAAATCATCCAAAATTTGACGTAAAATTCAAAATGGCCGACTTCCTGTTGATTTTAGGGCATCGCTCCAAGAGGCTTTTTTGTGCGTCTGGACAAGATACACGTACCACAGAAAATTCGTGCACGTAGGTAAAACGTGCGGCGGGGGCTGCTTCGTTAAAAGTCACTTCCTGTTGCCAGTAGGTGGCGCTATGACTGTCTGTGAATGTGAGCATGTACATGTGTTCAGGGCGGGACTCTCATCCTACATGTACAGTTTGGTCCAGATGTGAGCATGTACACTGAAGTTACGACAACTTCCGTGTCATGGCGAAGAGCTGATCTTTGACGCCACGTCACGGACACGCCCATTGACGAAAACTTGCAAATAGCACAACTTTTCATCTTCAATGCCTTTAGAAGGCACAGCACAAATTTGAGGTCGGTCGGACTAAATCCCTAGGAGGAGTTCGTTAAAGTACGAAGTGTGTAAATCATCCAAAATTTGACGTAAAATTCAAAATGGCCGACTTCCTGTTGATTTTAGGGCATCGCTCCAAGAGGCTTTTTTGTGCGTCTGGACAAGATACACGTACCACAGAAAATTCGTGCACGTAGGTAAAACGTGCGGCGGGGGCTGCTTCGTTAAAAGTCACTTCCTGTTGCCAGCAGGTGGCGCTATGACTGTCTGTGAATGTCAGCATGTACATGTGTTCAGGGCGGGACTCTCATCCTACATGTACAGTTTGGTCCAGATGTGAGCATGTACACTGAAGTTACGACAACTTCCGTGTCATGGCGAAGAGCTGATCTTTGACGCCACGCCACGGACACGCCCATTGACGAAAACTTGCAAATAGCACAACTTTTCATCTTCAATGCCTTTAGAAGGCACAGCACAAATTTGAGGTCGGTCGGACTAAATCCCTAGGAGGAGTTCGTTAAAGTACGAAGTGTGTAAATCATCCAAAATTTGACGTAAAATTCAAAATGGCCGACTTCCTGTTGATTTTAGGCTATGGCTCCAAGAGGCTTTTTTGTGCGTCTGGACATGATACACGTACCACAGAAAATTCGTGCACGTAGGTGAAACGTGCGGCGGGGGCTGCTTCGTTAAAGGTCACTTTCTGTTGCCAGCAGGTGGCGCTATGACTGTGGGTGAATGTCGGCATGTACATGTGTTCAGGGCGGGACTCTCATCCTACATGTACAGTTTGGTCCAGATGTGAGCATGTACACTGAAGTTACAACAACTTCCTGTTTCATTGCGAATCATCGACGCCACGGACACGCCCATTGACGAAAACTCGCAAATAGCACAACTTTTCATCGTCAATGCCTTTAGAAGGCACAGCAGAAATTTGACGTCGATCCGACTAAATCCCTAGGAGGAGTTCGTTAAAGTACGAAGTGTGTAAATCATCCAAAATGGCCATAAAATTCAAAATGGCCGACTTCCTGTTGACTTTAGGCTATGGGTTCTTGAGGCTTTTTTGTGCGTCTTGATACGATACATGTCCCCAGAAAATTTCGTACATGTAGGTTGAACGTGAACGAGGGGCTAATCATTTCCAATTTTCAAGGTGGCGCTAGCGAGTCATTTTGCCACGCCCATGTGCGAAACTTGTAGAATACGAAATTTTTCACCGGTTCTGACATGTTTGCAAATTTTGGTGAGTTTTCGAGTATGTTTAGGCCATGTCATTTGGGCCTACTTTGCAGAAAAAAAAAAAAAAAAAAAAAAAAAAAAAAAAAAAAAAAAAAAAATCCGAGCAGATTCAATAGGGACCTCGCACGGTCGTGCTCGGGCCCTAATTTATTACTCAATATTTCCTTTCATTAGTGGATGGGACTACATCAACCCCTTGCTTCTGATTGGACGGTGCGCTCTATCAGTTATGTCTGTGCTTCAGGCTGCTCTTCAAAATGGAGGTTCCATTCCTGCTGTGGTTCTTCCTCTTTGCCTTAAGACGATGCAACGTCTACACAAAAGTATACATGGCAGTTTATTAGCGAAAACTAATTAAATAATGCAATAAACCCCCCTCCATGATTAAGACATTAACCAGTTTATGAGAGATGGCGATTCAGCTCAGTTTGGAGCATGTGGTTTGTGGTGCTGTTAAACTGTAATGAATTAAACAAAGGTGTTTCTGTTATTTAGTCTAGCCTCACAGATTAAGGCTCATTTTAGTAAATGCTGTGGACAGTAAAGTGTTCATAATATTATAAAGATCGATGGCATCGAACCAACAGCAAGCACACGAAAAGGATTTGCAGAAAATGACCAGCAGGTGTCGCCCTGCACCTCCCTCAGCTGTGATCACCTGGAGCCACTTGAGAAAACAGAACTCCACTGAGTTAATTCTGCAGTGTTTAAAGATTCATCACACCTTATATGGTCTAGTTAGGCTTAGCACTGACTGACACTGACTGGTTTATTGCATGTTATGTCCTGCACAAGCATGATTAATTCACAGAGTGCGGCCCTTTTTAACCATGCGCCCGGCGCACAGACCATTTTTTCTGCCGTCAAATTGGAGTTGGATAAATATAAAGATTTGCCCCCTTGCCATTTTTAACTGCCCCCTCAGTCACTTCATCCTGGCGCCGGGCCTCGTCAGACCGTCTGAGTTGTACTGTAACGTTCTGTGTCTGAAGCAGAGGCTACATCAAATTACTTGAACTGTGACGCGCTGGCATTTGGGTTCTCATGATAATACGCACGCTCACAGACTGGAGACAGCAGGCTTGCTACGGTAATACGGGGAAAAAGTGGAGGTTACACATGTGTTTTATTAAAACTAACAAAAGCTGGTTGCTGTTCTGAAACAGTGGAGTAGATCATATTTTATCACGTTCTATTCTTTTTTGACTTTATGTTCATTGCTTTTCCATAAAGCAGCTGTTTTATTTGCAAATTCGATAAAACAGGGGCAATAGAAATTCACAATAACATATGATCTGGTTATTCTTATTGGCTTGCATCTGCCATCAAGGCTATTTTGTAAAATCACATCAGGTACCGGTATTGATGGATAGAGGCTAATTGTGCTAAATGATAATCTATAGCTACAAAGGTGCAAAACCCCTTTCTCTTCTCAGAAATTTGTTTAAATGTAGGCAGGCTTGAGTATACATAAAACTAACTAGACCACTTTGTTAATTATACCAAAAAAACAAACGGTTACCTTTGTCTAAAATGTACAGGGACCCAGACCCTATGAAACTTGTTAGTTTCTTGTAGTTAAAGCAACACAGTCTCACTCCCTACTCGTCAAATGTCTGACGCATGGTCAAGGCCCTTTGTCATCGCTTTTTAAAGACTTGGGTAGCCCTTTGGCATCAATTATTGACGTTTAGGGATCCTCAGTCAAGTTAGCAACGCTTAGCAACAATAAATATGCAATATCCGGTTACACTTTCAAGATAAAACGTAACGTTTCGATACATTGCCATGTTGAAACGCGCATAATTAAAGTCGTGAAACGTTGCAGTTTCGTTAAGTTTAGGCACAGAAAGTACTTGGTTGGGTTTAGGCAACAAAACTACTTGGTTAAGGTTAGGAAAAGATCATGGTTTGGGTTAAAATAGCTATGTATGTCAATTAAGACTTAAGTTAACTAACGTTAATGTCAATTTACCTCACTCGCCTAAATAAAAACATTTAATGTTTTGTTTCGCACGGGACACAAACCCTGTTCTCCTGCTTCAAGGTCCGGGTTCTGGCCCTCTATCCACCCCAATCACCTCCTTACTTCGTCTTTTCTCTTAAATATAAAACTGACACAACAGGGCTTCCCTCAATACGTCGAACTATGACGTCAAAGGGATCCCTAGTGCGTCACAAACTGACGATTATGGCTCTTGACCAAGCGTCCATATGTGACGACTTGGGAGTGAGACCGGGTTGGTTAAAGACAACGTGAGCCCTCTCGCCCTTTGCAAAATATTTAACCAAATGGGTTTTTTTTCCAAATATTTAAAACCCCTTACATTTAACTAGGCTAATAAAAGTTTAAATAATTACGAAAATCTAACTACAGTTCGTGTTGCAAATAGAGCCCCATATCCTAATGTATCCTAACTGCTTAGCCAATCCCTCTCGTTTCCCACCCAGACCTTTTACCTTTCCTGTACCTGTTTTTGTTTTTCCTTTATGATACAGACCATTGTAATAATTATCTGCAAAACTTTTATATTTGAGTATTTTATTTTAATGTAAGGCTACAACCAGCAGGGGGCACGCTATCACTAATAATTGCACCTGTTAAAACAGCTTTGTTGTTTAGAGATTAGTTAGGCAACTCTTCAGACATAATTAGGCACACAAGTATTTTACACATTTTGATGCAAATTACAGCCTTAGAAAGTTTTTCAGTATTAGTATGAGACTTAGAATTTGATCAGATAGTATTTTGATTTGGTTTACATGACAGCAGATACTGTGGCAGAGTCACAGGCCACCCTGAAAATTCTTATTAAACCCTGAAAATAAGCACTTTATCACATTTAAGTCAACACAAAGATACAAAGAATAGTAGCTTATTATTGTTTTATTTCTACAACCACACATATACTGTGATCTATAGCCTATATGTAAGTCATGCTGAAAATAAGGCACAACAGATGCTCCTTTAATAACCTATAACAGGCAGAATTAATGTTGTGCTTCTGTTGGAGTTTACACTAAATGCTGGTTTAGTTTACTGACAGTATGAAAAGGCTTTAAATGAAGATGTGACTGATATACAACCTGCTCAAGACTCAATGACAGGAAACAAATCACAGACAGTTCATTACACATGAATGAATATTGTGAATGAAGGAATTAATATTATTATATATTAAAATAATAATAATATATTTGCTATAAGGATTAGTCGAGGTGATAGTGCTGCTGGGTAATTATAGACTTGGAAAAAGTATAATGCTGGACAGACAGTTTCACTCATTAGGACTTTTTTGTGTTTTATGAACATATAGGCTACAGCACGTTGTATTCAAATATATTAATTTGGTTCAGAAGTTTTACTAGCACCATATGTGTGAAAAATAACCTTTAAAAACATTTATAAACGCCAGATAGAAAATATAAATACATGAAAGAAAGTAAAATGTAAACAAGTGCAGTTTTTCTCGAGTAATAATATTAGGCGACATTATGCTTTTATTGTGAAAGACCAGGCCGGACGTGTTCCGGAAGCGGAGAAACCGAAAGTGTTTCGCTCTGACGCAGCCTGAAGTCGTTACATGTCCATTAGTGTCGTTACAGTGAAGTTGGTGAAGTGAAGTTTGATCTTTAGATGACTTTAAAAAGCATGAAACTTTTTCCTCTGCTGTGTCTCTGTCTCCTGACTCTGTCTGGAAAAACGTTTGCTGATGAACACGGTAAGAAAACTAATTCACCTTGAGGCCTGACGTTACTGAGACTATTAGCACAGAGCAATATTAAAACATCACTCACAACACAGATGATTAATGTGATTAATTACAGTCATATAACAGAGCCGCGCGTCTCCTGCACAGAAACTGTTCCTCATTTCAGACTGTGAAACCTGATTAACTGTCTCGAAACATCACTGATATTTCCAAACAAAAACATAAATTATTTTCTCTACCTGAGGGTTGCTGTTTTACTGATTCAAAAAAAGAAGGCTCTAAAAATAATAGCCTTATTTAATAGAAGCAGTTGCTCCTCCATCTGTTCTGTTTCACATTCAGATCCAAATCACATGAACATCTTCAGAGTCAGAAAACTACCAAACTGATAAACACCATCTGAATATAAACATGTTCAGAACTTTGTGAATGTCTTTCTGGTTATTTTCTCAGTCATGTTTGATTTTAGAAGCTTGTTTCATAAATTAAGTTGCAAATATTTAATCTGGAGAACAAAGAGCTCGACAAGGTAAAATAACAGGAAAGGTTTCTTGTTATGAGTTGATATGTTGTTCTAACAACAGACTTCTATATGTCTGTCTTAACTTAGTTAAATTAATTGTAAACATTCTGATTAATACATGTTTTTATCTTCCAGGTCCAGCGATCATCAAAGTGAAACAAGGGAGTGATGTTATTTTACCCTGTTCCCTCAACACCAAGGACATTGAGAGCGAACGCTTTGAGTGGAAGAAAGATGGTCAGAAGGATGTTTTCTTCTATGATGGAGGCACTGAAGATCAGCAGTTAGAAGGTCGCGTCTCACATTTTCCAGATGAGCTGCAGTCCGGCAACGCCTCCATCATCATCAGAAATACGAAGGTGACTGACAGAGGAAACTACACCTGTGAATTTCCACATCTTCAGCCAAGACAGATATTCAACATTGAGCTTGTTGTTGGTGAGTGTTTTCATTAAACAGTTAAAGATTTATTTATTGATGTGACTGGTTTAAGAGTCCCAGATGGACTTTAGTCAAGTGGTCAGAATAAACATCTGGCAGGGCCTCGTCCCCACAGCACTTTTCCAGCAGTGTTACCTGTCTGCCAAGTTGATAATATTTCACAAGCGCTCTAACATATGTTTATATTGTTTATTGCCACTTATTTTAAATTGAATAACAAACAGACAAGTAGGAACTGAAACCAGAAAAGTTCTCTTGTTCTTTCCTTTTTATTTCATATTTTAAATACATTAAATCAGTGATAAAATGTTGTATCAGGCTGAAATTCACAGGATCTCTTCCTCCACTTGTCTTTAATGTCTGAACCAGATTTTAGGTTGACAGACTGAAGTGAATCTGAGATATTTTAGAAAGAGCAGATCCAAAGCACATGAACATGTTCAGATACAGAAAACTACCAAACTGATAAACACCATCTGAATATAAACATGTTCAGAACTTTGTGAATGTCTTTCTCCTTATTTCCTCAGTCAGGTTGTATTTTAGCAGCTAGATAAATATTGATCTATAATTTTGTCCTCATGGTCTGTGCTGCTGTTACCGAGCAGCTGCTGTATCAAACATGGACAGAGACATTTCTACAGATGATGAAATCTGTGTTCCTGCTATCTGACTGTAGTTCAGAGGTTTGTTGTTGTTGTTTTTTTACTTACAAGACTTAGAAATCATGATGAACTGAATTAATTTTGACTTTTAGTTCTGTGTTTTCCTCGTTGCTCTCTCTTGTTTCCTCGTTCTTCTTATTAGTGTGCTGAGTGAGTCAGTGCTGATGTTCATCATCACCTGGGAAAAAGAGATTTAATTTTTATTGATTATTAATGCTGAGGCTGCTCTAAAGTTTGTTCTAAAAATATTGTGTGGAAAATAAGGTTAGAAAAAAGAAATAAAAGAGAAAAACTCCAGAAATAAAATGATAAATATTTGTAAGAAAGTAAATTGTAAAGAAGTGCAAATATCTGGAGGAAAAAGTGCTCGACAAGGTCAAAGTTTCTTTTTATGAGTTGATATGTTATTTAAAAACAGACTTCTATATCTCTGTCTTAACTTAATTAAATTAATTGTAAACATTCTGATTAATACATGTTTTATCTTTCAGAGCCAGTGATCGTCAAAGTGAAAGAAGGCAGTGATGTTATTTTACCCTGTTCCCTCAACAACAAGGAGAACATTGCGTCAACAGTCTTTGACTGGAAGACAAATGATCAGAAGGAGGTTTTCATTTATCATGCAGGCACGACTTACGGTCCAACCAAAACAGGTCAAGATCAGCAGTTCAAAGGTCGCGTCTCACATTTTCAAGATGAGCTGCAGTACGGCAACGCCTCCATCATCATCAGAAATACGAAGGTGACCGACAGTGGAGACTACAGCTGTGATTTTCCACGTCTTCAGCCAAGACAGATATTCCACATTCAGCTTGTTGTAGGTGAGTGTTTTCATTAAACAGTTAAAGATTTATTTACTGATGTGACTGGTTTAAGAGTCTCAGATGGACTTTTGTCAAGTAGTCAGAATAAACATCTGGCAGGGCCTCGTCTATTATCAAGGTGATAATATTTCAGAAGCACCTTAACATATCTTTTGTTTTGCCTTTCAGATGGTATCTTAACCTCTTAAGGCTAATCACACTCATGTACATTTCTGCCTCCTTATACGTCCCAATTTGATCTAATTTATATTTAAAAGACCACGAGGAACTGATATATGTCCATTATGTGACTGTTAAGTAAATTATCTGAGGGTTTGTGCAGTGTGTTAGTTTTACTTGTAGCACCAACACAGGTAATTTAATAAATGATTTAAAGGGAGACGATAGAAGCACACGTGTTATTTTCCTTTTACTTCATCTTTCAGATTCATTAAATCAGTGATAAAATGTTGTATCAGGCTGAAATTCACAGGATCTCTTCCTCCACTTGTCTTTAATGTCTGAACCAGATTTTAGGTTGACAGACTGAAGTGGCTCTGAGATATTTTAGAAAGTGCAGTACAGAGCGTCTCCAGCAGGTGTCTACAGAGCTCTCTAAAACTTCTCCAAACTTACCGAATAATGATAATAAATCTCTTTGTTATATTATAAAAACGTTCCTAAGTGTTAAATTTAACTATAGAAATATGTTTTTAATATTTAAATACATATTTACATATTAATGATGATTGAATCTCTCCTCTCTGAACATATAAATAAAGTTTCTCTGTTGTCTCGGTGTCCCGCTACCGCAGGAAGTCCGACTACAGTAACTTCCATATATGGTCAGACAGGTGATTCTTCCGGCTACAGACTCACCGTGTTTTCACGGTGCTGACTTACCATTGGATGAAAGTGTAGGTCAATTAGACACACGTGGAGCTCTCGTAAAGCTGCTCTCCTCTGATTGGCTGTCGGAGTTAAAAGCCCGTTAGCTTCGTCACTTTAGGTCGTAGAAAGATGCTGATTGGTTCGTTTTGTTCCTGGGCGGTTACTGATTTCAGAGATACTGAACATCATTGGTCAAATATTTTGTCGCTACTTTAAATTGACAGAAATCACTTTGTTTTGGAAGTTTGACGAGCGGCGCTAAAAATAAACGAGCGACACAATCGACTTTTATTCAGGTTATTTTACTTCCGCTTGAACTTTAACGAGCTGGATTCACTCGGTGGACTTTTGTTCTTTAAAACGAGCCTCTGTTTGTCTGTAAATGTCTGTTTTTCGACCTATAAATCCATATAAATCATTCTAATATGTGCAAAGTATCATAAAGCTGAAACAACAAATCACTTGGAGACATTTACCAGCACTGATTGGGTCTGTAGGGTCTTTTATATTAAACCTTTTGTGGCTGTTATTGGTATTTTCTTTCTCTGAAACACACTTTATTGGTCATTCACAAATAGAGAAGCAATTAACTCAAACCGTCACAAAGACTTTTCTTTAGATTCTTTTTTTTATTTATTTAAATGACTGCTTGTAATTTTGTCACCAGAGAGAAGCCAATAGATGAACAAAAACCTGTCACATGTCCTTTTCACTCACAGATATGTTAAACACACTTTCATCCTCATTTACACCCAGAGAAAAGCTGAACAAGAAACATCACAGTGTTACATTTATAATCCTGTTATTGTCCTTTTATAGCTGATGTGTCTGTTTACTGTGTTCACAGGAGCAGCTGCAGAGCCGTCTGTCAAGATACTTAATCAAACACAGGACTGGTCGCTGCTGCTGTGTGAAGTTCTTGGTGCTTTTCCTAAACCTACAGTAGAGTGGCAGGACAGTGCTGGAAACAAACTTCCTGCTGAGGAGACACATGTCTCAGAAAGAGGAGGCAGCTTCTACATCACTGTCAACACTACTGTGAAGAAGACCGACCGCTATCGCTGTGTAGCCACACAGGAGGAGATCAAACATCACATTTATACTGAGATCCACGTGTTTATCTGTGGTGAGATTCTTCCTGGTTGTGTTTTTAACATGTCATTTATTTTAATAGTTGTGTTATTAGTATTTAAGCGTCTTCAGACTGAACACAAAGCAGGTTGTGATGAAGACGTCAGCAGAAGTGTAAAAAGTGTCAAACTGAGTGAAAGCTTCACTCTTATACTGAGACTCTGAGACTTCATGAATCTACAGAGATGAGAGGAAGAATGAGAGGGTCTGCAGGGAAATAACAGAAAGAAACTCTGAGATCAGTCTGATCAAACACAGGAACACAAGAATTTAGTAAACTTCACTCACAAACCCAGTAACAGATTTATAAATGGCTGCTGCAGCCTGATCCTGAGGATCGACATGAAAACACCTCACGAGGGAGATTTAGAGACTGAAGACTTTAGAATCAGAGACTTTTTGAGACACAAGTGAAAAAGACTGAACTTGAATAAATATTGATAGTTCCTGGTAATATTTTGACACCATGGAGGCACATACAGGCTTTGAAGTGCAGTTTTTATTAGACAATGGAAACTTTAATTGAAGTAATTAGTACCAATTCCAAATTCAGCTTGTCAGTTCTTATTCGTTATATTGAAATAATGTTGTTTCACAGCAACATAAATTAGATAGTTTAGATTAGATTCACCTTTATTGTCATTATGCAGAGTACAGATACAAAGTTAATGAAATGCAGTTAGCATCTAACCAGAAGTGCAGAAATGGTGTTTTATTATACAGATAAGTGCAGTTGTAATGCTATTTCTATAAAGTCCTCCTGCTCTTAAACATTTTCCAAAAAAAATATGTATTCCACTGTGAGCTTTTGTTCAGAGACAAAAAAGGAAGAATTGTATCAGGTTTATTATTATTTAAAAATGTTTTTAGAGAGATTTAAAACTGTGTCTCAGTCTGTGTGTGTTCTGAAACCTGTATAAATATTCTTTATAGCATTTTATTAAAGGTTAAAAGTGTGTTTAGCTTTAAGAGTTGGAGCTTCAAGAGACTCGTGCTGCAACTTGAGAGAAAGTGTAGAAGTATCAGTGAGTTAAATGTACTTAAAGTAGCCAAAGATAAAAAAGTATAATTTGAAGTATCATCTGATAAATGTAGTGAATTATAAAGTAGCATAAATAGGAAATAGTCAAGTACCTCAAACTTGTCCTGTCACTGCTCAGTGAAACATAAACGTATCTCAGCCTCATGTTTAGCTGGATGTTTAATGTTTCCTGTTAACAAAGCTTATCAACACTCGCTGTAACAGCAGCTGTGATAAAATCCAGATGTGGTTCTGAGCCGTAATCCAGAGTCCACGGTGGCCTCGGCTCAGGGTGCAGAGAAGCTCGGCTGTAGACAGATCGCCTCACACGTTTGCAGATCTCAGCACAGCAGGAGTTTAGCAACAGTCACATGTAAACAGGCTGAAGTAGAGGCGGCAGGACAGAGATTCAAACCTTCTTCCTACTGATGAGCAGCACGTCTCAGAAAGAGGACGATGCTACGACATTACCCTCCTCACTACTGAGACCAGAACCAGAACCAACCTCTTAGCTGTGGAGCCCAGCAGGAGGCGACTGGCCATAAGATCAATGCTAACATCACTGTTCCTGCTGAGACTCATCCCAGTGCTGTTTGGATCTGCTGACAGTTTTAGCTTCTAGATTTCAGGAGCGTGCACACCTTTAGATGTTCTTTGTGTCGGCTGTGATGTTCAACCTGCTGTTTATGATGTGCAGCTACGTTCTGACTGTTACGTTCACTTTTTATCATCTGTTTCAGGGTCTCCCACTGGATGGATAGTTGCTGTTGTAGTTCTTTCTCTTGCTGTTGTTGTAGCTGTGCTTTATGTGCGTCGCATCAGACGAAAATTACAGAGAGGTAAGTTTAAATAATGTTTTTATCAACATATTCATGATGAGCAGACAACACATTCTTTGTGTCTCGTGTTTAGAGTCTTGACAGATGTTTTATCTTCTCAGGCATTAAGCATTCTGTTGGTATTTACACCAGCGTAGGATCAATGCAGGAGGGATTTTCTTTGTTTTCCTTCATTCAGTGCAGCTACCTGATCCAGAAACTTAAAGAGCTTTATGTGCTGTGAATTTGGCTGCTGAAGTGTGTGTGTTTCTATTTCTGTTTTGTGAGAACCAGTTTGAGGTTTACACCAGACTGTAGGACAGTGAAGACATTTTGGATGGTTCTCACATACAGGTGAAACTCGAAAAATTTGTGTATTGTGCAAAAGTTCATTTATTTCAGTAATTCAACTTAAAAGGTGAAACTAATATATTATATAGACTCATTACATGCAAAGTAAGATCGTTCAAGCCTTTATTTGATATAATTTTGGTGATTATGGCAAATTATGTAAACCCCAAATTCAAAATCTCAGAAAATTAGAATATTGTGAAAAGGTTCAGTATTGTGGGCTCAAAGTTTCATACTCTAATCAGCTAATTAATCCAAAACACCTGCAAAGGGTTCCTGAGCCTTTAATTGGTCTCTGTCTGGTTCAGTGGAATTCACAATCATGGGGAGAAAACCATCATTGACACCCTCCACAAGGAGGGAAAGCTTCAAAAGGTAATTGCAAAAGAAGTTGGATGTTCTCAAAGTGCTGTATCAAGGCACATTAATAGAAAGTTAAGTGGAAGAAAAAGGTGCACAAGCAGCAGGGATGACTGTAGCCTGGAGAGGATTGTCAGGAAAAGGCCATTCAAATGTGTGGGGGAGCTTCACAAGGACTGAGGCTGGAGTTACTGCATCAAGAGCCACCACACAGACGGGTCCTGGACATGAGCTTCAAATGTCGTATTCCTCTTGTCAAGCCGCTCCTGAACAACAAACAATGTCAGAAGCGTCTTACCTGAGCTAAAGAAAACAAGAACTGGTCTGTTTCTCAGTGGTCCAAAGTCCTCTTTTCTGATGAGAGCAAATTTTCAAGATGCTTGAAGTCCAGTGTGAAGTTTCCACAGTCTGTGTTGGTTTGGGGAGCCATGTCATCTGCTGGTGTTGGTCCACTGTGCTTTACTAAGTACAGAGTCAGCGCAGCCGTCTACCAGGACATTTTAGAGCACTTTATGCTTCCTTCAGCAGACGAGCTTTATGGGATGCTGACTTCATTTTCCAGCAGGACTTGGCACCTGCCCACACTGCCAAAAGTACCAAAACCTGGTTCAATGACCATGGGATCTCTGTGCTTGATTGGCCAGCAATCTCGCCTGACCTGAACCCCAGAGAGAATCTATGGGGCATTGCCAAGAGAAAGATGAAAGACATGAGACTGAACAATGCAGAAGAGCTGAAGGCCGCTATTGAAGCATCCTGGTCTTCCATAACACCTCAGCAGTGCCACAGACTGATAGCATCCATGCCACGCTGCATTGAGGCAGAAATTCATGCAAAAGGGGCCCAAACCAAGTCCTGAGTACAAATGCATGATTATACTTTTAAGAGGGCTGACATTTCTGTATTTAAAATGCTTTGTTTGTTTTTTTAAATTGATTTCATGTAATCTAATTTTCTGAGGTTTTGAATCTGGGGTTTTTATAAGCTCTACGCAATAATCATCGAAATTATATCAAAGGCTTGAAATATCTCACTTTGCATGTAATGAGTATATAAAATATTAGTTTCACCTTTTAAGTTGAATTACTGAAATAAATGAACTTTTGCACTGTATTTCAGGCAGTTTTGGGGTTAAAACCTGGTTTTAAGATTAAAGTTAAAATTAGTTTAAGGTTAGGATTGGGATTAGATGATTTTGATGGTGTCAAGATGAAAGTTTTTGAGGTTGTTCGGATGGTGAATGTGCTTGTAGCTCAGCTCTACTTTACTACGTCCCTTTACCCCGACCACAACCTTTGCTTGACCTTAACAAGTGTTTTATATTCTCTCCCTGTCAAAGTCATGGACAGTAAGATAACAGCATGTTAAAATTAATCATTCCATGAACTAGTTTCTGATATGTGGTGTGATATTGTTGTTAAGGACAATGACGACTTCTTGCACTCTGTTCTTTGTTTTTTCATTTTAATATTCTGATTATTTTATGCAACTTAATTTTACTCTTGCTCTGTCTTCAATCTAAATTAATTTCATTCCAGGCAGCACAAAGTCAAGTGATGATCAATCTGCCCCCTGAACTGTTGTTGTTGAGGACTTTATACTGAAGCACCTGATGAATAAGACGAAGCTGCACAGAAACAATGTGATCAATAATGAGATAACATCAAATTATAACATAGGATAACATTTACATTTTAGCTGACACTTTTATCCAAAGTGATTTACACTCATATATAAGAAGCACAGTAAGTAAGTAATGAAAATAAATAATAAAGTGAAACGACCAGGAGACTCTGACTGAGGATTTCAGGCTGCTGCAGCTCAGAAAAGGTTTAAATATCTGTGATGTGTTCAGGAGCTTCAGTGTGAAATCTGAACCTGTAAAACTGAGAGGCAGCTACTGAAGACTGGAAGGTGTTTGTGTTTCTATAATGAGTTAAAATCAGCTTGTTTGATGAGCAGGAGACAGACAGGGACTTCTGTCTGAGGCCTGAATAAAGAGATGAATGAGGAGCAGAACTGCTGCATAAATACTGTCCATTTACTAAATATTATCAGACCGCTTGTTGTTTTTAAAGATCCTAAATGAGGGAGAAATTAATAGAAACATGAGTTCACTGAACTGAAGCTATTAATGTAAATATTTTGTAGCTAAAGTTAAAAATAATGTGACTTTTTAATTTTGATATTTGTGTTATTGAAATTATTTGGGACAAGCCTGTGTTGCTTATTTTATTTCTTAAGGTGCAATGCCAGAGTGCTGTCAGATACAGTTACACACTGAACTTCACACTTACACACAGCAGCTAGTGAACAGGCAGTCTAATACAACAGTCCTGCAATAAATCTCCTTCATGATTCGACTTCATGGTCATGTTGGAGGCTGTAGTTTGTTGTGCTGTTGAACTGTTTTGCCCAATAGTGACAGGTGTTTCTGTTATTTTGTCCACCCCATGTATATCAGTGAGTGCAGGCTAAATGACAGCAACGCGTCTCTGAAACAGTTTGAACACAAACTGAACATTTAAACCTTGATGAAGGAGATTTATTGCAGGACTGTCAGACTGCATTAGTTTCAGGTGTTCCTAATAAACTGGACACTGAGTGTTTGCTGCTGCTTCTGACTGTAATATTTGAGTTCTCTGAAAGTTCATGTTCAGCTTGTTTTATAATTTAAGTTGCAAATGCAATCTGGAGGACAAAGCAAGGTCAAAACACAAGAGAAGTTTTCTTGTTATGAGTTGATTTGTTGTTCTAACAACAGACTTCTGTATCTCTGTCTTTACTTTGATTACATGTAAACATACTGATTAATACATGTTTTTATCTTCCAGAAAGAACAAAGACAGAAATAGCTCTTTTACAGAGCAATGGGATCAAAGACAATGCATCAGGTCAAGAAGATCACGACTCACATTTTCCAGATAAAGTGTAGCACGGCCCCCATCATGATCTGTAATACTTATAATATATATAAATATTTTACACTGCAGATATTAGACTAGCAGCTAGCGGACTTTTCCATATTAAATATTAATCATACTTGTGCTAAAACCAGGTGTGTTACCTGTTCCGTGTTTGTAAAATATCCACTGCTTCTTCTAACATAACACTTGATTTATACTTTTCTTATTTACTGGTCGTTTAAGTCGCTGCATCTATTGACAGAACAGAGTTATGTAACGTAACAGGTTGGGCTGCAGCGATCGATTCACTTTAGTAATCGAGTATTTTACAGATTATTTCGCCGATTAATCGAGTAATCAGCGCTGCCTTCATGCTGTTGTGGTCGGCTGGTTCTGTTGTACAGAGCTGTTTTCTTTTAGCTTGAAATCATCCCATTCTTCTCTGACTCTGTTTCTTCTTCCTTCTCTGTTTTCTCTCTCTTCCTTCATGTTATAATCCTCACCATCAAATGGCATCGTCTTCACTTGTCCGCAGCGTAAACAGGTTGTGCGACACTAATAATGGGCGGTGATGGTACAGTGGATAAGACACATTCCTTTGGTCTGAGAGACCCGGGTTCGAATCCCCTGTGAGACACCGCTGAGCAAGACGCTTAGTTGCTCCAGAGGCGTGCGACCTCTGACATATATAGCAATTGTAAGTCGCTTTGGATAAACGCGTCAGCTAAATGAATAAATGTTAATGTAATAATCATCCGTGTGAAACTGTACATCAGTGCTTTTTAGTGATCCAGTTATCAAGTTTCTCGATGAATTGTTTCAGCCCTAGTAACGAGTAGTTCACCTGCTCTGCTCCTTGAATACGCACAGAGCCCCCTCAGTGGCTCATCTGCCCACCAAAGCAGTCCTACAGGGAAACACTGTGTTGCTGTCATCTTCTTGCGCTGTAGATGCTTTTGAAAGTTAATAATGTTGGATTACTATTATTCTTGTTCTTGGGAGTTTGGGTTAATGCCTGATCATTTAAAAATAATGAAGCCTTAAATTTAAAATGTTTTATAAATGCATGATTTTTCTAATAGTCGTGTTAAATAACCGTGACCTCAATACTGACCAAAATAACCATGATGATGGTAAATAGTCTGTATTTTGTTTAGTACCTTTCTCGTCTTTCTGACTACTCAAAGCTCTTTATGTCTCACGCTGACGAGCAGAGCCGCCAACTTTTGAGTTCATCAGAAACAGAAATTATGTTACAAAACTCATTATAATTATGTTCATTTCATTTTCTTTATACCTGCTCATTTTAATTCTACAACACCAAGACCACAAGGAACTGATACCTGTCCGTAGCATCACTCAAAAGTTTCATTAGCTGTGTTATTAATATACTATATAAGATACAAATATATTTAATTTGAGTTAATACCAGTCTGTATGATAGGAAGGACATTTTGGCAGATCCTCACTTACTTGTTTGAAGGCTAAGACCTGGTTTTAAGGTTATAGTTAGATTGGGTTTCAGGTTAAGGTTAGGATCAGTGTTGTGGTTAGAGAGATGTGATGGTCGCAAGATGAAAGTGAGGTTGTTGAGGTGGTGAATGTGCATGAAGCTCATCCTGTTTTCATATGGAAGCATTACCACGACCACAACCTTTCCCTTAACAAGTGTTTATAAACTGTCCCTCATGGACAGTAAGATGACAGCAGGCCAAAATATATAGTTGTTACCTTTATCTCCCAGCACCCAATATCTGGTTAAACAAAATACTTAGAAATAAAGTCCAAGTCAAGTGTAGAACGCAAAAGTCCGTCAAAGAAAAGACGCATCAGTACGCTCTAACAGACGGCTGAACAACATCTGGATTGATTTAATGGCACTGACTGTAGAATTAGCACCGTGGATGTAAACATGATGCTTCTTTAGCAGATTTTTTAAGTAATTCAGTTAAAATTTGCGCCCCATTTGGATGGAAACTTGATTTACAGACGACGTTTCATTCCACCTGTGTGTGTGGCAGCTTTAGTTTTACTCTAACATGAATTGATCTTTCCCTCACAGCTAACATATCTACACATCGATCATGTAGTTTCCCTGGACAGATGTTGAAATCATTCAGAATAAATGCAACATTTTTATTATTTATTCCAACACTATTATTTACTGTTTAAAACGTCATCACTGAGTTTAATCTGGGGTTCAACAGAATCATCTGTTTTACAGGTAAATGTTCTGTCCGGTGTTGAGGCTGTTTGCGTCACAGGAGTAGTTTCTTTTTGTCACTAATTTTAAAACCCCTGTTAGCTGGTCGTCAGTTAATCTCAGGGTCGGTGGTTCGATCGTCTTTCTTCATGTCCACGTGTCCCAAGTGTTCTTGAGCAATGATGGTCAGACCAGCACCTTGCATGGTAGCTCGCTGCCATCGGTGAGTGTGTGTGAATGATAAATGCTGTATTTACCAAATATTATCAGACTGCTTGTAGTTCTTAAAATAAAGTGAAAAATATATTGTGACTTTTTTTATTTTCATGTTTGTGTTCTTCCACATTATTTCTTTTTCTTAATTTCTATATAGGCCTGGGGGTGGTGATGGCGCAATGGTTAAGACGCATGCCTTTGGCGTGAGAGACCCACGTTCAATCCCCCACTGTGACCCATCCACCATTGTGTCCCTGAGCAAGACACTTAACCCCCAGTTGCTCCAGAGGCGTGCGACCTCTGACGTGTGTGTGTGTGTGTGTGTGTGTATATATATATTATAAGTCGCTTTGGATAAAAAGCATCAGCTAAATGTAAATATACAATCACTGTCCAGTTTATTAGAAACATCTAGCTAAAACTAATGCAGTCTAATACAACAGTCCTGCAGTAAATCTCCTTCATTAAAGTTATAATGTTCAGAGAGGCATTGATTTAACTTCATGGTCATTTTGGAGGCTTTAGTTTGTGGTGCTGTTGAACTGAAACAGGTGTTTCTATTATTCTGTCCACTCCATGTATATCAGTGAGTGCAGGCTAAATAACAGAAACACGTCTCTGAAACAGTTTGAACACAAACTGAACATTAAAACCTTGATGAAGGAGATTTATTGCAGGACTGTCAGACTGCATTAGTTTCAGGTGTTCCTAATAAACTGGACACTGAGTGTTTGCTGCTGCTGCTGACTGTGATATTTGAGTTCTCTGAAAGTTCATGTATGTTGATATTTCTAACTGATGATGAACTTGTATCGAGTCATTTCCTGCAGAGCTGAATCATTTCTGTCCAAACGTTTGAATAAAACATGAAAAATGTCAAACTGTATGTTGTGGCTGTTTTTGATGTTTCTGTCTGTTCAAACTCTAAGAAAATAAAATAAAGTGATTTTACTGTGTTGGACCGATTCTAACATGATCAATATTTTACTACAGATGTTTTTAACATGACTTTTTGTAGGAGTGGTATTTAGCAGTGGTGAAATGTACATTCACTCAAGTACTGTACTTAACTACAAATTCAAGGTACTTAAGTAGGAATTTAAGTTTGGGGAATGGAAGGAACAACTACAGGGACTGTTGGAGTGTGCTGCCCTAACAGAGCCACGAATAGTGAGCATTTTGATGGGGGTTAGCCAAATGGCAAGTTCAGGTGTTGGCTCAAGGTGACCGAAATATTCTTTGTGGCACTAGATGACCTTTATGGAGAGAGGACGCCCATTACATTAGTTAGTTTGGATCGACTGAAGGCTACAAGAAAATAATGTTATTTTAGACATGATACTCATGGAAACCTCATTTAACCATGAAGAGAATTGGAAGAATACAGTGTGTTCAGAAAAGAGGCTTAAAATGTGGTGAGATTTCAAACTGTGCAGAACAGGAAGGGGCCCACTGAGACTGCTTGTATATAGAGCCAAGAATGTTTTGCTACGTCTCTGTCAGTAAACTTGTTATTTTAAGGCAAATCTTAATAATTAATGGGGATTTTTTTATTAGCAGATAGAAACTGCAATTTCCAACACATCTTCCATAACTGAATCTGAAGTAATCAATTAAGCATTTGCAAGCACTGTTTGGTTTATAGACCTACCAGTATTGTTTTGTGCCTTGTGAGGGACCAAGTTTTCAGGCATGAGGAGTCAGAAAGTAAGTTTCCCAAAAATATATATTTTATTTACAAAGCACAAAAAATAGAAAATTCTGGGCCCATAAAAGAGGTCAACTAAACAGAACTTAACTCAGGTAACATAAGCTGAACAAAAAAGACCAAGACAAACTAAACAGACAATATATTCACTCACATTTATACACTGAGCTCAAACAGAAACTTACATTCATACATAAACTAGTGGAACAGCAACCAGAGGCAGTTCGGGGTTCAGTATCTTGCCCAAGGACACTTTGACATGCAGCCTAGAGGAGCTGGGATTGAACCACTGACCTTTCAATTAACAGGCACCCTGCTCTACCTCCTGAGCCACAGCCCCCCCCAAGTACACGTCAAGTGTTGGACACAAAAGTCTGTTAGAGAAAATAAGCATCAGTACTCTAACAGACAGGCATGTTGGACTTTTGAACAACATCTGGAATGATTTAATGGCACAGACTGGAGAATTAGCGCCACCAGCTGTTTGTCTCCATGAACCACATCCTAATTTATTTTTTCTGGAAACTCAGTTAAAATTACGTCACATTTGGATGGAAACTTGTCTTTCAGCAGACTTTTCAGTCCACCTGTGATTTTGGCCGCTCTGACCAACAAAACAACACTTTGCCTTCAGACAACACGACATAGAAACTAGTTTGTTTAAAGTGAAACTGCCTTTAAAATTCAAGTTTTACACTATCCACAATTTATTTAATATTATTTAACGTTCAAAACAAATCATCATTAAATATAATCTGAATTACATGTAAATGTTGTTTCACAGGAGTAGTTTCTTTTTAGCAGACAGGTTGGAGTTAACGAGGTGAAACAGAAGAGAGCAAGTGGACTTTAATGCAGACAGAACTGATTATTAATCAACAATTCTGTTAATTAGATTCTGGTATGTGGTGTGACTGAGTTTCACTCTTGTGCAGCTTTAAGACAAAAAATACTGACTTACTTAATGACGTCTTGCACTCTGTTCTACAGTGCACTCGGAAAGTATTCACTGCGCTTCATTCTTTCCTCAACAAAAGTTTAACATAATGTGGAAAAACTGAAGCGCTGTGAATACTTTCCCCATGAATTACATGTTGCATTGCACAAAGTTAAAAGACACCTGATTAAACTCCAGATAAAAGTGTAAGTGTAATGTAGTGTAAGGGCCTCAGACCAAATAAACTCTGCAATCAGTGAGTGAGTGTGAATGATGGATGTGGAGCAAACATGCTGCATTTAACAGAAATGATCTTAAACATGGGTTCACTGAACTAAAGCTGTTTCGCTGTAAAATGTGAATATTTTGTAGCTACAGTGTTCATTGACATTATTTGGGACAAACCTGTATTGCTTCCTTTTATTTCTTACGGTGCGAAGCCAGACTCTGTCAGGTACAGTTACACACTGAACTACACACTCAGTGTCCAGTTTATTAGGAACACCTCGCTAAATTAATGCAGTCTAAAACAACAGTCCTGCAATAAATCTCCTTCATGAAAGTTCTAACTGATGATGAACTTGTATCGTGAAAAATGTATAACATTAAAAATGTCAAACTGTATGTTGTGGCTGTTTTTGATGTTTGTTCAAACTCTGAGAAAAGAAACTAAAGAGATTTTACTGTGTTGGACCGATTCAAACATGATCAATATTTTGCAGCTGTTGTTTTTGTATAAATACTTTTTGTAGGAGTGGTATTTAGCAGTGATGAAATGTGCAATTGTAAGTAGCTTTGGATAAATGTAATGTAACATTTACTCAAGTACTTAAGTAAAACAATTTTGAGGGAGGCCTACTTGTATTTCAACTTCATGCTACTTTATGCTTCTGCTCCACTAGATGTCAGTATTTTAATGTTTCCTCTACTACATTTGTCTGACAATATTCAGATTACAAATTCCTCCCTGTCCAGTGAATACCATGCTTTTTAAGAAAAATAATCTATTTAAAAACCCTATTTGAAAACAGGCTGTTGAGCAATCAATAAAAATTCACTTTAAAGGGGTGAATATGTATGCAATCATCTTTTTTAACTTCAACTTCTTTAATATTATAATTTTTAATTAATTGACATTAGAGTTTTATTGCAAATTCTTGTCAAAAAAGCCAAATAATATTGAGCATGATTTCATGTATAAAAGAAACAAAAGAGTGAAACATCAAAGGAGGTGAATACTTTTTATAGACATTGTACTTGTGGAGTGTTTTCACATTGTGGTATTATTAATGCTTTTTACTCGAGTAAAGATATTATTTCTACCACTGGTGATCAGTCAGTCCCTTTTTCACAAGTCAAAATCATAGACTGTATAAAAACGTCAAAATATTAGTGAAAGTGACGCTTTTATTGTGAAGGATTAGCGGAAGTGTTGCAGCTTCCTGAGAAATCGAAAGTGTTTCGCAGTCACGCAGCCTGAAGTGGTTACACGTCTGTTAGAGTCGTAACAGTGAAGTTTAATGATGTTTAATCTTCAGATGTCTTCTACAAACATGAAGCTTCTTCCTCTCGCGTGTCTCTGTCTCCTGACTCGGTCTGGAACAACGTTGGCTGATGAACAAAGTAAGAAAACGACTTAATTAAACTGATAATCAATAACCTGATAGGCCGAATAGGCACAGATCAATATTAAAACATCTAAGCCTATTTCCCTAACAAATGTGATGTAATTTAATAAAGGCATCCTTCTGATTAATTACAGTCGTACAACAGAGCCGCGCAGTTTGCTGATGTTTCCATTATCTGGCAGCGGAAGTTCAGGGCGTCTCCGGCAGAGAAACTGTTCCTCATTTCAGACTGTTGCGACTCATAACTGATATTTCTGATCAAATATAAAGTGTCGACCTCTACCTGAGGGTTAACTTACTGTTTTGTTGATCCTTTTTAAGTAGAAACTAAGAATAATGCGTGTGTTATAGCCACACAGCCTGTAATATAAATATTATAATAATAAGCAGCCGTTATTTTTCTCTCTCGCTTCATTTCTCACATTTATAATTCAGATCCAAAGCCATGACCATGTTCAGAGACAGAAAACTAGGCTGCAGGACTGACAAAGCACCGTCTGAATATAAACACGTTCAGATCTTCCTCCTTAGTTTCTCAGTCTGGTTGTATTTTAGCAGCTTGTTTGTGGGGAGATGAATATTGATCTATAATTTGTCCTCGTGGTCTGTGCTCCTGTTTACGGAAACGAGTGTGGACAGATATTTCTGCAGAATATCTGACTGTAATTCAGAGGTTTATTGTTGTTGTCTTTTGTACTTTCTAGACTTATAAATCACGATGAACTGAATTCAGATTTAATTTTAGCCTGTTTTCCTCGCTGCTCTCATGTTTCCTCTTCCTTCTTAAACTTTCCTTCTTAAATTTGTGCTAAAAAGACCATTTCGTGGGGGGAAAAATGAAAAATAAAGTTAAAAAACAGGTTATAAGTATTTGTAAGAAAGTAAAATGTAAACAAATGCAGAAATTGGAGAACAAAGTGCTCAACAAGGTAAAAAAAACAAGAAATGTTAGTTGTCACGAGTTATGTTGTTTGAACAACTGACTTCAATGTGTCTTAACTTAAGCATAATTAAATTAATTTAAACATACTGATTAATGAGGTTTTTTGTCTTCCAGGTCCAGTGATCATCAAAGTGGAAGAAGGCAGTGATGTTATTTTACCCTGTTCCCTCAGCCCCAAGGAGGACATTGAGTACAAACTCTTTGACTGGAAGAAAGATGGTCAGAAGGAGGTTTTCATGTATGATGCAGGAATTTATTACAATAAGGGCCTTTCAGGTCAAGATGAGCAGTTCAAAGGTCGCGTCTCACATTTTCAAGATGAGCTGAAGTACGGCAACGCCTCCATCAAGATCAGAAATACGAAGGTGAATGACAGTGGAAACTACAGCTGTGATTTTCCACGTCTGCAGCCAAGACAGACATTCAACATTCAGCTTGTTGTTGGTGAGTGTTTTCATTAAACAGTTAAAGATTTATTTACTGATGTGACTGGTTTAAGAGTCTCAGATGGACTTTAGTCAAGTAGTCAGAATAAACATCTGGCAGGGCCTCTCTATTATCAAGGTGATAATATTTCACAAGCGTTCTAACATATGTTTTTTTTTTCCGTTTTAGGTGGTTTCTTAAAGGACAGATCAGCTGAAGAAGGTGAGTCCTTTGATGACGTCACTCTGTGAGTTTGGCTCCAGAGGCCTGATATCATTCAAAACACATTTATATTCCTCGCTTTGTGAAACAGATATAAATCATTCTTCTATGTTCAAAGTGTCATAAAGCTGAAACAACAGATCACTTCTTGATGTGGAGACATTTACCAGCATTGATTGGGTCTGTAGGGTCTTTAACATTTATATAAAACCTTCTGTAGCTGTTATTGGTATTTTCTGTCCCTGAAACACACTTTATTGCTCATTCACAAATAGAGAAGCAAATAGCACACACCATAACAATGGTGGAGTTGTGTTACATATTTTAAAAAGTCTCCTTAAGACTTTTCTTTAGATTGTGTTGTTTTTAAAAAAAATGATTTGCATGCAATTGTAATGCTTGTAATTTCAGGAAAATTCATTATTTTAGCATCTGTATCTAACCCTAACTACAAGGTACTACTGGAGAAATTCTTAATATTTTTACATGTGTTTAATAAAAGCTAATTTATTTACTACAAAGTAATTTCCATTTAAATTTCCTGTAACCAAAATTAAAAATCTACAAAAAGTATATAACCTAACTCAATGAAAGAAACTAAATTACTCTCAATAAATAACTAAAATAAACAATATTAAGATACCTGACAGCCCAACCCTGTGCTGGTAACACCATCAGCACAGCAGATTAAACATTTTAGAAATTACGATAGTGAATGTGGCTTGTTGGGAGACTAGCTTTGCAGTGTGCTGCAACATTGCACCTCAGCCAGTTACCGTTGTTGTTGTTGTCACCAGAGAGAAGCCAATAGATGAACAAAAACCTGTCGCATGTCCTTTTCACTGGCAGATGGAGACAACAGATGTGTTAAACACACTTTAATTCTTGTTCACAACCAGAGAAAAATAAACAAGAAACATCACAGTGTTACATTTATAATCCTGTAATTGTCCTTTCATAGATGACGTGTCACTTATTGTTCATTTACACTGTGTTCACAGGAGCATCTCCAAAGCCGTCTGTTACAATACTTAATGAAACAAATGATGGGATGCTGCTGCAGTGTGAAGTTCTTGGTGCTTCTCCAAAACCTACAGTAGAGTGGCAGGACAGTGCTGGAAACAAACTTCCTGCTGAGGAGCCACAGGTCTCAGAAAGAGGAGGCAGCTTCTACATCACTGTCAACACTACTGTGAAGAAGACCGACCGCTATCGCTGTGTAGCCACACAGGAGGAGATCAAACATCAGATTTTTAAAGACATATATGTGAAGGTCAATGGTGAGATTCTTCCTATATTATATTTCAGTAATTTTAATATTTCATTTTTTATTAGTTTTCAGACTGAACTCAAAGCAGGTTGTGATAAAGACGTTTCAAACTGAGTGAAAGCTTCACACTTCATGAATCTACAGAGATGAGAGGAAGAATGAGAGGGTCTGCAGGGAAATAACAGAAAGAAACTCTGAGATCAGTCTGATCAAACACAGGAACACAAGAATTTAGTAAACTTCACTCACAAACCCAGTAACAGATTTATAAATGGCTGCTGCAGCCTGATCCTGAGGATCGACATGAAAACACCTCACGAGGGAGATTTAGAGACTGAAGACTTTAGAATCAGAGACTTTTTGAGCGACATTGACAAGAACTTTGCGTGGGAATTTGGCCTTCTTAAGATTCCTCAAAATACAGTCATTTCTGAGCTTTCTTCACCAGTGTGGAGAAGTGAGATGTCAGGTTCTCTGTGATGCTGATTCTCAGGAACACAGCAAAAACTGAGCTCTCAAAAACAAGGAAAAAAAGCAATAAAATGGGGGAAATATTACTTAAAATAAGCAAAATTATCTGGCAACAGAACAAGAATATTTCACTTGCTACTTAAGGACAAAAAAACTTGAAGTGAAATTCTCTAACATAAAAGCCACCTGGTAAGAAGAAAACAAAAACAAAAACAAGTATATTTTGCCTTGAATTAAGATAATTAATCTTACTTAGATGTTAGATTTTTGCAGTGAAGCTGAAACTGTTCACCTGCTCCTCCTCAGCACCACTGATGTAAACAGGAGTGTGTCTTTATCTCTTTCTTCATGAAATCGAAGATCAGCTCCTTGCTGCTGTTGAACAGACTCTTTAGTGAAGTAAAAGTAGCAAGACCACAATGTAAAAATACTCTGTTACAAGTAAAAGTGCTGCATTCAAAAGTCCACTTGATTATAAATACAGAAGTATCAGTAAAATTAACTTAAAGTAGCAAAAGTGATGTGTTTATCAAGTATATAAGTAAGTAAGTACTATCAAAGTAGCTAGTCTGTCTGATAAATGTAATGACATATAATAAACCAGCATAAGTAGGAATACTCAATTAAAGTAAAAGTACCTCAAACTTGTCCTGTCACTGCTCAGTGAAACATAAACGTATCTCAGCCTCATGTTTAGCTGGATGTTTAATGTTTCCCGTTAACAAAGCTTATCAACACTCGCTGTAACAGCAGCTGTGATAAAATCCAGATGTGGTTCTGAGCCGTAATCCAGAGTCCACGGTGGCCTCGGCTCAGGGTGCAGAGAAGCTCGGCTGTAGACAGATCGCCTCACGTTTGCAGATCTCAGCACAGCAGGAGTTTAGCAACAGTCACATGTAAACAGGCTGAAGTAGAGGCGGCAGGACAGAGATTCAAACCTTCTTCCTACTGATGAGCAGCACGTCTCAGAAAGAGGACGATGCTACGACATTACCCTCCTCACTACTGAGACCAGAACCAGAACCAACCTCTTAGCTGTGGAGCCCAGCAGGAGGCGACTGGCCATAAGATCAATGCTAACATCACTGTTCCTGCTGAGACTCATCCCAGTGCTGTTTGGATCTGCTGACAGTTTTAGCTTCTAGATTTCAGGAGCGTGCACACCTTTAGATGTTCTTTGTGTCGGCTGTGATGTTCAACCTGCTGTTTATGATGTGCAGCTACGTTCTGACTGTTACATTCACTTTTTATCATCTGTTTCAGGGTCTCCCACTGATTCCTCCTCTGGATTAGATGTTCCTTTACTTGGTGCTGCTCTCCGCGTTGTTGCGGTTGTTCTAGCTGTGTGTGTGTAGGCTGGAAATGCAGCCAAAAATTACAGAGAGGTAAGTTTAAATAATGTTTTCATCAACATATTCATGATGAGCAGACGACACATTCTTTGTGTCTCATGTTTAGAGTCTTGACAGATGTTTTATCTTCTCAGGTATTAAGCATTCTGGTATTTACACCAGCGTAGGATCAATGCAGGAGGGATTTTCTTTGTTTTCCTTCATTCAGTGCAGCTACCTGATCCAGAAACTTAAAGAGCTTTATGTGCTGTGAATTTGGCTGCTGAAGTGTGTTTCCATTTCTCTTTTGTGAGAACCAGTTTACACCAGACTGTATGATAGTGAGGACATTTTGGATGGTGTATTTCAGGCAGTTTGGGTGTTAAAACCTGGTTTTAAGATTAAAGTTATTAAATTAGTTTCAGTTTAAGGTTAGGATTGGGATTAGATGGTTTTGATGGTGGCAAGATGAAAGTTTTTGAGGTTGTTGGGATTACGAATGTGTTTGTAGCTCAGCTCTACTTTACTACGTCCCTTTACCCCGACCACAACCTTTGCTTGACCTTAACAAGTGTTTTATATTCTGGAACTCAGTCACACAGTCTTGACTAAACTCATTTTAACTCTTTCGTTATTGTTGTTTAGGACAATGACGACTTCTTGCACTCTTTGTTTTTTTATTTTAATATTCTGATTATTTTATGCAACTTAATTTTACTCTTGCTCTGTCTTCAATCTAAATTAATTTCATTCCAGGCAGCACAAAGTCAAGTGATGATCAATCTGCCCACTGAACTGTTGTTGTTGAGGACTTATACTGAAGCACCTGATGAATAAGACGAAGCTGCACAGAAACAATGTGATCAATAACGAGATAACATCAAATTATAACATAGGATAACATTTACATTTTAGCTGACACTTTTATCCAAAGTGATTTACACTCATATACAGTGGGTACGGAAAGTATTCAGACCCCTTTAAATTTTTCACTCTTTGTTTCATTGCAGCCATTTTCCAAAAATCAAAAAAGTTCATTTTATTTCTCAGTAATGTACACTCAGCACCCCATCTTGACAGAAAAAAACAGAAATGTAGAAATTTTTGCAAATTATTAAAAAGAAAACTGAAATATCACATGGTCATAAGTATTCAGACCCTTTGCCGTGACACTCATATTTAACTCAGGTGCTGTCTATTTCTTCTGATCCTTGAGATGGTACTGCTCCTTCATTGGAGTCCTGCTGTGTTTGATTATACTGATTGGACTTGATTAGGAAAGCCACACACCTGTCTATATAGACCTTGCAGCTCACAGTGCATGTCAGAGCAAATGAGAATCATGAGGTCAAAGGAACTGCCTGAAGAGCTCAGAGACAGAATTGTGGCAAGGCACAGATCTGGCCAAGGTTACAAAAAAATTTCTGCTGCACTTAAGGTTCCTAAGAGCACAGTGGCCTCCATAATCCTCAAATGGAAGACGTTTGGGACGACCAAACCCTTCCTAGAGCTGGCCGTCCGGCCAAACTGAGCTATCGGGGGAGAAGAGCCTTGGTGAGAGAGGTAAAGAAGAACCCAAAGGTCACTGTGGCTGAGCTCCAGAGATGCAGTCGGGAGATGGGAGGAAGTTGTAGTAAGTCAACCATCACTGCAGCAATCCACCAGTCGGGGCTTTATGGCAGAGTGGCCCGACGGAAGCCTCTCCTCAGTGCAAGACACATGAAAGCCCGCATGGAGTTTGCTAAAAAACACCTGAAGGACTCCAAGATGGTGATAAATAAGATCCTCTGGTCTGATGAGACCAAGATAGAACTTTTTGGCCTTAATTCTAAGCGGTATGTGTGGAGAAAACCAGGCACTGCTCATCACCTGTCCAATACAGTCTCAACAGTGAAGCACGGTGGTGGCAGCATCATGCTGTGGGGGTGTTTTTCAGCTGCAGGGACAGGACGACTGGTTGCAATCGAGGGAAAGATGAATGCGGCCAAGTACAGGGATATCCTGGACGAAAACCTTTTCCAGAGTGCTCTGGACCTCAGACTGGGCCGAAGGTTTACCTTCCAACAAGACAATGACCCTAAGCACAGCTAAAATAACGAAGGAGTGGCTTCACAACAACTCCGTGGCTGTTCTTGAATGGCCCAGCCAGAGCCCTGACTTAAACCCAATTGAGCATCTCTGGAGAGACCTGAAATGGCTGTCCACCAACGTTTACCATCCAACCTGACAGAACTGGAGAGGATCTGCAAGGAGGAATGGCAGAGGATACCCAAATCCAGATGTGAAAAACTTGTTGCATCTTTCCCAAAACGACTCATGGCTGTATTAGATCAAAAGGGTGCTTCTACTAAATACTGAGCAAAGGGTCTGAATACTTATGACCATGTGATATTTCAGTTTTCTTTTTTAATAAATTTGCAAAAATTTCTACATTTCTGTTTTTTTTCTGTCAAGATGGGGTGCTGAGTGTACATACTGAGAAATAAAATGAACTTTTTTGATTTTGGAAAATGGCTGCAATGAAACAAAGAGTGAAAAATTTAACGGGGTCTGAATACTTTCCGTACCCACTGTATAAGAAGGACAGTAAGTAAGTATGAAAATAATAATAAAGTGAAACGACCAGGAGACTCTGACTGAGGATTTCAGGCTGCTGCAGCTCAGAAAAGATTTAAATATCTGTGATGTGTTCAGGAGCTTCAGTGTGAAATCTGAACCTGTAAAACTGAGAGGCAGCTACTGAAGACTGGAAGGTGTTTGTGTTTCTATGATGAGTTAAAATCAGCTTGTTTGATGAGCAGGAAACAGACAGGGACTTCTGTCTGAGGCCTGAATAAAGAGATGAATGAGGAGCAGAACTGCTGCATAAATACTGTCCGTTTACTAATATTATCAGACCGCTTGTTGTTCTTAAAGATCCTAAATGAGGGAGAAATTAATAGAAACATGAGTTCACTGAACTGAAGCTATTAATGTAAATATTTGTAGCTAAAGTGAAATATAATGTGCCTTTGTTGCTTATTTTAATTTCTTAAGGTGCAAAGCCAGAGTGCTGTCAGATACAGTTACACACTGAACTTCACACTTACACACAGCAGCTAGTGAACAGGCAGTCTAATACAACAGTCCTGCAATAAATCTCCTTCATGAAGGTTTTAATGTTCAGAGAGACATTGATTTGAATTCATGGTCATTTTGGAGACTGTAGTTTGTGGTGCTGTTGAACTGTCTTACTTTGACAGGTGTTTCTGTTATTCTGTCCACCCCATGTATATCAGTGAGTGCAGGCTAAATAACAGAAACACGTCTCTAAAACAGTTTGAACTCGAACTGAACATTTAAACCTTGATGAAGGAGATTTATTGCAGGACTGTCAGACTGCATTAGTTTCAGGTGTTCCTAATAAACTGGACACTGAGTGTTTGCTGCTGCTGCTGACTGTGATATTTGACTTCTCTGAAAGTTCATGTTCATCTTGTTTTATAATTTAAATCTGGAGGACAAAACAAGGTCAAAACAAAATGTTTTCTTGTTATGAGTTGATTTGTTGTTCTAACAACAGACTTCTGTATCTCTGTCTTTACTTAATTAAATGTAAACATACTGATTAATACATGTTTTTATCTTCCAGAACCAAAGACCCCACAATTATGAGATGGCACTCTTTTACAGAGCAGTGGGATCAAAGACAATGCATCAGGTCAAGAAGATCACGTCTCACATTTTCCAGATAAAGTGTAGCACGGCCCCCATCATGATCTGTAATACTTATAATATATATAAATATTTTACACTGCAGATATTAGACTAGCAGCTAGCGGACTTTTCCATATTAAATATTAATCATACTTGTGCTAAACCAGGTGTGTTACCTGTTCCGTGTTTGTAAAATATCCACTGCTTCTTCTAACATAACACTTGATTTATACTTTTCTTATTTACTGGTCGTTTAAGTCGCTGCATCTATTGACAGAACAGAGTTATGTAACGTAACAGGTTGGGCTGCAGCGATCGATTCACTTTAGTAATCGAGTATTTTACAGATTATTTCGCCGATTAATCGAGTAATCAGCGCTGCCTTCATGCTGTTGTGGTCGGCTGGTTCTGTTGTACAGAGCTGTTTTCTTTTAGCTTGAAATCATCCCATTCTTCTCTGACTCTGTTTCTTCTTCCTTCTCTGTTTTCTCTCTCTTCCTTCATGTTATAATCCTCACCATCAAATGGCATCGTCTTCACTTGTCCGCAGCGTAAACAGGTTGTGCGACACTAATAATGGGCGGTGATGGTACAGTGGATAAGACACATTCCTTTGGTCTGAGAGACCCGGGTTCGAATCCCCTGTGAGACACCAATGTGTCGCTGAGCAAGACGCTTAGTTGCTCCAGAGGCGTGCAACCTCTGACATATATAGCAATTGTAAGTCGCTTTGGATAAACGCGTCAGCTAAATGAATAAATGTTAATGTAATAATCGTCCGTGTGAAACTGTACATCAGTGCTTTTCTGTAATCTAGTTATCAACTTTCTTGAATTGTTTCAGCCCTAGTAACGAGTAGTTCACCTGCTCTGCTCCTTGAATACGCACAGAGCCCCCTCAGTGGCTCATCTGCCCACCAAAGCAGTCCTACAGGGAAACACTGTGTTGTTGTCATCTTCTTGTGCTGTAGATGCTGTTGAAAATTAATAATGTTGGATTACTATTATTCTTGTTCTTGGGAGTTTGGGTTAATGCCTGATCATTTAAAAATAATGAAGCCTTAAATTTAAAATGTTTTATAAATGCATGATTTTTCTAATAGTCGTGTTAAATAACCGTGACCTCAATACTGACCAAAATAATCATGATGATGGTAAATGGTCTGTATTTTGTTTAGTACCTTTCTCGTCTTTCTGACTACTCAAAGCTCTTTATGTCTCACGCTGACGAGCAGAGCCGCCAACTTTTGAGTTCATCAGAAACAGAAATTATGTTACAAACCTCATTATAATTATGTTCATTTCATTTTCTTTATACCTGCACATTTTAATTCTACAACAGCAAGACCACAAGGAACTGATACCTGTCCGTCATCACTCAAAAGTTTCATTAGCTGTGTTATTAATATACTATATAAGATACAGATATATTTAATTTGAGTTAATACCAGTCTGTATGAAAGGAAGGACATTTGGCAGATCCTCACTTACTTGTTTGAAGGCTAAGACCTGGTTTTAAGGTTATAGTTAGATTGGGTTTCAGGTTAAGGTTAGGATCAGTGTTGTGGTTAGAGAGATGTGATGGTCGCAAGATGAAAGTGAGGTTGTTGAGGTGGTGAATGTGCATGAAGCTCATCCTGTTTTCATATGGAAGCATTACCACGACCACAACCTTTCCCTTAACAAGTGTTTATAAACTGTCCCTCATGGACAGTAAGATGACAGCAGGCCAAAATATATAGTTGTTACCTTTATCTCCCAGCACCCAATATCTGGTTAAACAAAATACTTAGAAATAAAGTCCAAGTCAAGTGTAGAACGCAAAAGTCCGTCAAAGAAAAGACGCATCAGTACGCTCTAACAGACGGCTGAACAACATCTGGATTGATTTAATGGCACTGACTGGAGAAGAACTTCTTTTGCAGATGTTTCAAGTAATTCAGTTAAAATTTGCGCCACATTTGGATGGAAACTTGATTTACAGACGAATTTTCATTCCACCTGTGTGTGTGGCAGCTTTAGTTTTACTCCAACATGAATTGATCTTTCCCTCACAGCTAACATATCTACACATCGATCATGTAGTTTCCCTGGACAGATGTTGAAATCATTCAGAATAAATGCAACATTTTTATTATTTATTCCAACAATATTATTTACTGTTCAAAACTTCCTCACTGAGTTTAATCTGGGGTTCAACAGAATCATCTGTTTTACAGGTAAATGTTCTGTCCTGTGTTGAGGCTGTTTGCGTCACAGGAGTAGTTTCTTTTTGTCACTAATTTTAAAACCCCTGTTAGCTGGTCGTCAGTTAATCGCAGGGTCGGTGGTTCGATCGTCTTTCTTCATGTCCACGTGTCCCAAGTGTTCTTGAGCAATGATGGTCAGACCAGCACCTTGCATGGTAGCTCGCTGCCATCGGTGAGTGTGTGTGAATGACAAATGCTGTATTTACCAAATATTATCAGACTGCTTGTAGTTCTTAAAATAAAGTGAAAAATATATTGTGACTTTTTATTTTCATGTTTGTGTTCTTCCACATTATTTATTTTTCTTAATTTCTATATAGGCCTGGGGGTGGTGATGGCGCAATGGTTAAGACCCATGTTCAATCCACCATTGTGTCCCTGAGCAAGACACTTAACCCCCAGTTGCTCCAGAGGCGTGCGACCTCTGACATGTATAGCAATTGTAAGTCGCTTTGGATAAAAAGCATCAGATAAATGTAAATATACAGTACAATCACTGTCCAGTTTATTAGAAACATCTAGCTAAAACTAATGCAGTCTAATACAACAGTCCTGCAATAAATCTCCTTCATTAAAGTTATAATGTTCAGAGAGGCGTTGATTTAACTTCATCGTCATTTTGGAGGCTGTAGTTTGTGGTGCTGTTGAACTGAAACAGGTGTTTCTATTATTCTGTCCACCCCATGTATATCAGTGAGTGCAGGCTGAATCACAGAAACACGTCTCTGAAACAGTTTGAACTCAACCTGAACATTTAAACCTTGATGAAGGAGATTTATTGCAGGACTGTCAGACTGCATTAGTTTCAGGTGTTCCTAATAAACTGGACACTGAGTGTTTGCTGACTGTGATATTTGAGTTCTCTGAAAGTTCATGTATGTTGATGTTTCTAACTGATGATGAACTTGTATCGTGTCATTTCCTGCAGAGCTGAATCATTTCTGTCCAAACGTTTGAATAAAACATGAAAAATGTCAAACTGTATGTTGTGGCTGTTTTTGATGTTTCTGTCTGTTCAAACTCTGAGAAAAGAAACTAAAGTGATTTTACTGTGTTGGACCGATTCTAACATGATCAATATTTTACTACAGATGTTTTTAACATGACTTTTTGTAGGAGTGGTATTTAGCAGTGGTGGAATGTACATTCACTCAAGTACTGTACTTAACTACAAATTCAAGGTACTTAAGTAGGAATTTAAGTTTGGGGAATGGAAGGAACAACTACAGGGACTGTTGGAGTGTGCTGCCCTAACAGAGCCACGAATAGTGAGCATTTTGATTGGGGTTAGCCAAATGGCAAGTTCAGGTGTTGGCTCAAGGCGACCGAAATACAGCAGCCAAATTCTTTGTGGCACTAGATGACCTTTATGGAGAAAGGATGCCCATTACATTAGTTAGTTTGGATCGACTGAAGGCTACAAGAAAATAATGTTATTTTAGACATGATACTCATGGAAACCTCATTTAACCATGAAAAGAGAATTGGAAGAATACAGTGTGTTCAGAAAAGAGGCTTAAAATGTGGTGAGATTTCAAACTGTGCAGAACAGGAAGGGGCCCACTGAGACTGCTTGTATATAGAGCCAAGAATGTTTTGCTACGTCGCTGTCAGTAAACTTGTTATTTTAAGGCAAATCTTAATAATTAATGGGGATTTTTTTATTAGCAGATAGAAACTGCAATTTCCAACATATCTTCCATAACTGAATCTGAAGTATTTGCAAGCACTGTTTGGTTTATAGACCTACCAGTATTGTTTTTTTCCTTGTGAGGGACCAAGTTGTCAGGCATGAGGAGTCAGAAAGTAAGTTTCCCAAAAATATATACAGTGGGTACGGAAAGTATTCAGACCCCTTTAAATTTTTCACTCTTTGTTTCATTGCAGCCATTTTCCAAAAATCAAAAAAGTTCATTTTATTTCTCAGTAATGTACACTCAGCACGCCATCTTGACAGAAAAAAACAGAAATGTAGAAATTTTTGCAAATTTATTAAAAAAGAAAAACTGAAATATCACATGGTCATAAGTATTCAGACCCTTTGCCGTGACACTCATATTTAACTCAGGTGCTGTCTATTTCTTCTGATCATCCTTGAGATGGTTCTACACCTTCATTTGAGTCCAGCTGTGTTTGATTATACTGATTGGACTTGATTAGGAAAGCCACACACCTGTCTATATAAGACCTTACAGCTCACAGTGCATGTCAGAGCAAATGAGAATCATGAGGTCAAAGGAACTGCCTGAAGAGCTCAGAGACAGAACTGTGGCAAGGCACAGATCTGGCCAAGGTTACAAAAAAATTCCTGCTGCACTTAAGGTTCCTAAGAGCACAGTGGCCTCCATAATCCTCAAATGGAAGACGTTTGGGACGACCAGAACCCTTCCTAGAGCTGGCCGTCCGGCCAAACTGAGCTATCGGGGGAGAAGAGCCTTGGTGAGAGAGGTAAAGAAGAACCCAAAGGTCACTGTGGCTGAGCTCCAGAGATGCAGTCGGGAGATGGGAGAAAGTTGTAGTAAGTCAACCATCACTGCAGCAATCCACCAGTCGGGGCTTTATGGCAGAGTGGCCCGACGGAAGCCTCTCCTCAGTGCAAGACACATGAAAGCCCGCATGGAGTTTGCTAAAAAACACCTGAAGGACTCCAAGATGGTGATAAATAAGATCCTCTGGTCTGATGAGACCAAGATAGAACTTTTTGGCCTTAATTCTAAGCGGTATGTGTGGAGAAAACCAGGCACTGCTCATCACCTGTCCAATACAGTCTCAACAGTGAAGCATGGTGGTGGCAGCATCATGCTGTGGGGGTGTTTTTCAGCTGCAGGGACAGGACGACTGGTTGCAATCGAGGGAAAGATGAATGCGGCCAAGTACAGGGATATCCTGGACGAAAACCTTTTCCAGAGCGCTCTGGACCTCAGACTGGGCCGAAGGTTTACCTTCCAACAAGACAATGACCCTAAGCACACCACTAAAATAACGAAGGAGTGGCTTCACAACAACTCCGTGGCTGTTCTTGAATGGCCCAGCCAGAGCCCTGACTTAAACCCAATTGAGCATCTCTGGAGAGACCTGAAAATGGCTGTCCACCAACGTTTACCATCCAACCTGACGGAACTGGAGAGGATCTGCAAGGAGGAATGGCAGAGGATACCCAAATCCAGATGTGAAAAACTTGTTGCATCTTTCCCAAAACGACTCATGGCTGTATTAGATCAAAAGGGTGCTTCTACTAAATACTGAGCAAAGGGTCTGAATACTTATGACCATGTGATATTTCAGTTTTTCTTTTTTAATAAATTTGCAAAAATTTCTACATTTCTGTTTTTTTCTGTCAAGATGGGGTGCTGAGTGTACATTACTGAGAAATAAAATGAACTTTTTTGATTTTTGGAAAATGGCTGCAATGAAACAAAGAGTGAAAAATTTAAAGGGGTCTGAATACTTTCCGTACCCACTGTACTTAAGTAGGAATTTAAGTTTGGGGAATGGAAGGAACAACTACAGGGACTGTTGGAGTGTGCTGCCTTAACAGAGCCACGAATAGTGAGCATTTTGATGGGGGTTAACCAAATGGAAAGTTCAGGTGTTTGCTGAAGGCGACCGAAATACAGCAGCCAAATTCTTTGTGGCACTAGATGACCTTTATGGAGAGAGGACGCCCATTACATTAGTTAGTTAGGATCAACTGAAGGCTACAAGAAAATAATGTTATTTTAGACATGATACTCATGGAAACCTCATTTAACCATGAAGAGAATTGGAAGAATACAGTGTGTTCAGAAAAGAGGCTTAAAATGTGGTGAGATTTCAAACTGTGCAGAACAGGAAGGGGCCCACTGAGACTGCTTGTATATAGAGCCAAGAATGTTTTGCTACGTCGCTGTCAGTAAACTTGTTATTTTAAGGCAAATCTTAATAATTAATGGGGATTTTTTTATTAGCAGATAGAAACTGCAATTTCCAACACATCTTCCATAACTGAATCTGAAGTATTTGCAAGCACTGTTTGGTTTATAGACCTACCAGTATTGTTTTGTGCCTTGTGAGGGACCAAGCTGTCAGGCATGAGGAGTCAGAAAGTAAGTTTCCAAAAATATATATATTTTATTTACAAAGCACAAAAAATAGAAAATTCTGGGCCCATAAAAGAGGTCAACTAAACAGAACTTAACTCAGGTAACATAAGCTGAACAAAAAAGACCAAGACAAACTAAATAGACAATATATTCACTCACATTTATACACTGAGCTCAAACAGAAACTTACATTCATAAACTGGTGGAACAGCAACCAGAGGCAGTTCGGGGTTCAGTATCTTGCCCAAGAACACTTTGACATGCAGCCTGGAGGAGCTGGGACTGAACCACTGACCTTTCAATTAACAGGCAACCTGCTCTACCTCCTGAGCCACAGCCCCCCCCAAGTACAAGTGTTGGACACAAAAGTCTGTTAGAGAAAATAAGCATCAGTACTCTCTAACAGACAGGCATGTTGGACTGTTGAACAACATCTGGAATGATTTAACGGCACAGACTGGAGAATATGCGCCACCAGCTGTTTGTCTCCATGAACCACATCCTAATTTATTTTTTATGGATACTCAGTTAAAATTACGTCACATTTGGATGGAAACTTGTCTTGCAGCAGACTTTTCAGTCCACCTGTGATTTTGGCCGCTCTGACCAACAAAACAACACTTTGCCTTCAGACAACACGACATAGAAACTAGTTTGTTTCAAGTGAAACTGCCTTTAAAATTCAAGTTTTACACTATCCACAATTTATTTAATATTTAATAGTATTTAACGTTCAAAACAAATCCTCATTAAATATAATCTGAATTACATGTAAATGTTGTTTCACAGGAGTAGTTTCTTTTTAGCAGACAGGTTGGAGTTAATGAGGTGAAACAGAAGAGAGCAAGTGGACTTTAATGTAGACAAAACTGATTATTAATCAACAATTCTGTTAATTAGATTCTGGTATGTGGTGTGACTGAGTTTCACTCTTGTGCAGCTTTAAGACAAAAAATACTGACTTACTTAATGACGTCTTGCACTCTGTTCTACAGTGCACTCGGAAAGTATTCACTGTGCTTCATTCTTTCCTCAACAAAAGTTTAACATAATGTGGAAAAACTGAAGCGCTGTGAATACTTTCCCCACGCATTACATGTTGCATTGCACAAAGTTAAAAGACACCTGATTAAACTCCAGATAAAAGTATAAGTGTAATGTAGTGTAAGGGCCTCAGACCAAAAAAACTCTGCAATCAGTGATTGAGTGTGAATGATGGATGTGGAGCAAACATGCTGCATTTAACAGAAATGATCTTAAACATGGGTTCACTGAACTAAAGCTGTTTCGCTGTAAATGTAAATATTTTGTAGCTACAGTGTTCATTGACATTATTTGGGACAAACCTGTATTGCTTCCTTTTATTTCTTACGGTGCGAAGCCAGACTCTGTCAGGTACAGTTACACACTGAACTACACACTCAGTGTCCAGATTATTAGGAACACCTCGCTAAATTAATGCAGTCTAAAACAACAGTCCTGCAATAAATCTCCTTCATGAAGGTTCTAACTGATGATGAACTTGTATCGTGAAAAATGTATAACATTAAAAATGTCGAACTGTATGTTGTGGCTGTTTTTGATGTTTGTTCAAACTCTGAGAAAAGAAACTAAAGAGATTTTACTGTGTTGGACCGATTCAAACATGATCAATATTTTGCAGCTGTTGTTTTTGTATAAATACTTTTTGTAGGAGTGGTATTTAGCAGTGATGAAATGTGAAATTGTAAGTAGCTTTGGATAAATGTAATGTAACATTTACTCAAGTACTTAAGTAAAACAATTTTGAGGGAGGCTTACTTGTATTTCAACTTCATGCTACTTTATGCTTCTGCTCCACTAGATGTCAGTATTTTAATGTTTCCTCTACTACATTTGTCTGACAATTTTCAGATTACAAATTCCTCCCTGTCCAGTGAATACCATGCTTTTTAAGAAAAATAATCTATTTAAAAACCCTATTTGAAAACAGGCTGTTGAGCAATCAATAAAAATTCACTTTAAAGTGGGGAATATTTATGCAATCATCTTCTTTAACTTATATATTTTTAATTTATTGACATTAGAGTTTTATTGCAAATTCTTGTCAAAAAAGCCAAATAATATTGAGCACGATTTCATGTATAAAAGAAACAAAAGAGTGAAACATCCAAGGAGGTGAATACTTTTTATAGACATTGTACTTGTGGAGTGTTTTCACATTGTGGTATTATTAATACTTTTTACTCGAGTAAAGATATTATTTCTACCACTGGTTATCAGTCAGTCCCTTTTTCACAAGTCAAAATCATAGACTGTATAAAAACGTCAAAATATTAGTGAAAGTGACGCTTTTATTGTGAAGGATTAGCGGAAGTGTTGCAGCTTCCTGAGAAATCGAAAGTGTTTCGCAGTGACGCAGCCTAAAGTGGTTACATGTCTGTTAGAATCGTAACAGTGAAGTTTAATGATGTTTAATCTTCAGATGTCTTCTACAAACATGAAGCTTCTTCCTCTCGCGTGTCTCTGTCTCCTGACTCGGTCTGGAACAACGTTGGCTGATGAACAAAGTAAGAAAACGACTTAATTAAACTGATAATCAATAACCTGATAGGCCGAATAGGCACAGATCAATATTAAAACATCTAAGCCTATTTCCCTAACAAATGTGATGTAATTTAATAAAGGCATCCTTCTGATTAATTACAGTCGTACAACAGAGCCGCGCAGTTTGCTGATGTTTCCATTATCTGGCAGAGAAACTGTTCCTCATTTCAGACTGTTGCGACTCATAACTGATATTTCTGATCAAATATAAAGTGTCGACCTCTACCTGAGGGTTAACTTACTGTTTTGTTGATCCTTTTTAAGTAGAAACTAAGAATAATGCGTGTGTTATAGCCACACAGCCTGTAATATAAATATTATAATAATAAGCAGCCGTTATTTTTCTCTCTCGCTTCATTTCTCACATTTATAATTCAGATCCAAAGCCATGACCATGTTCAGAGACAGAAAACTAGGCTGCAGGACTGACAAAGCACCGTCCTGAATATAAACACGTTCAGATCTTCCTCCTTATTTTCTCAGTCTGGTTGTATTTTAGCAGCTTGTTAGTTATGTTATGTTGAACAGTTATGTTGTTTGAACAACTGACTTCAGTGTGTCTTAACTTAGGCCTAATTAAATTAATTTAAACATACTGATTAATGAGGTTTTTTGTCTTCCAGGTCCAGTGATCATCGAAGTGAAAGAAGACAGTGATGTTATTTTACCCTGTTTCCTCAGCACCAAGGAGAACATTGAGTACAAACTCTTTGACTGGAAGAAAGATGGTCAGAAGGAGGTTTTCCTTTATGAAGCAGGAACTCATTACAATAACGGCCGTCCAGGTCAAGATGAGCAGTTCAAAGGTCGCGTCTCACATTTTCCAGATGAGCTGAAGTACGGCAACGCCTCCATCATCATCAGAAATACGAAGGTGACTGACAGTGGAAACTACACCTGTGATTTTCCACTTCTTCAGCCAAGACAGATATTCAACATTCAGCTTGTTGTTGGTGAGTGTTTTCATTAAACAGTTCAAGATTTGTTTACTGATGTGACTGGTTTACGAGTCCCAGATAGACTTTAGTCAAGAATAAACATCTGGCAGGGCCTCTCTATTATCAAGTTGATAATATTTCACAAGCGTTCTAACATATGTTTTGTTTTTCGTTTTAGATCGTATCTTAAAGGACAGATCAGCTGAAAACATTGCAGGTGAGTCCTTTGATGACGTAACTAACTGTCACAGGTATGTGCCGAGTTTGGCTTCAAAAGGATATCATCTGACATCATCCAACCCTACGTACTCCAAAAGATAACATACATCAGCACTACATGATAGAGAGAACAGATCTTGTTTATCTTTAAAACAACAAAATATGTCCTAGTGCAACAACTTCCAGAAATCTTGTTGGTGTTATTAAAGTTTACATTGAGCTCCTGTTTCTCTGCTCCTGTTTTTCCTTTCACTATAACAGGCTGCATTGTATTTACAGAAATTATAGAGGTATTTTAACAGTTCTCCTTATGACCACTTTAATAGGTACACTTGTACAATAAGGTAATTCTATTAAACATCTCTGCCTAAAATGACTTCACCAAGTTTATATTGTTCAGTTTTTGCTGACTTTGTCCTAAACATGAAAATTCAGGGACACGTTTATTACTGAGCTCATAGTTAATGGTGCTGTTATACTGGACTACATTATACAAAGAGGTGTTTCTAATTTTTGTACTCACTGTTTACAAACTTGAGGGGTCAAAATATTTAATTCAACACTGGAAACTATGACCTTTGTGCTAAAACACATAATTGAATTAACGCCACTATGACAGTTAAAAAAACATTGTACACTTATAAAGTAAACTTAACAGTTGTGTTGGATTGCGTCAGTCTGGACAGGGGCCTGCACCACGAAGCAAGTTCAACATACCCGGAATATGTTATCATTATCTGGCTTAACTAACTAACAATCGCGATCGGGATAAGCTGTCACGGTGGGTGGTGTGAAGGCAGGTTGTGGAACCCAAATGCAGGACTCGAAGCCGGCAGGTACAGTTCAGTGATTTATTTAAACAACTAAAGGCGAGCACACTTACAGGTTGAGTGGCTGATACAGAGTCCAAAACAAAGGTTGTCCAAAACAGTGCAGGGAGACACGACAAGAGGGCCGCCAACAAGCAATCACACAACAACTCAGGGAGACAGCATACAATGACCCAACAAAGACTAGACAGAAACACCAGGTATATATACACAGGGATAACGAGCAGGGCGGGAGCAACACAGGTGACAGAGCAGGAGAAAACAGAGACAGACATGCAGAGGGATCACTGGGGTAACAGACAAGACAAAGGTTACTGAACACTAGACAAGCAGACATGGGGCAGAGAGAATAAGCAAAACAAGACAGAAACACATACACACACACGTTACCAAGAACCTGAACGAGAAAACAGAGTACAGAAGAGACAAAACAAAAATGGCACACACTAGAACCAAGAGCAAAGACCAGAACTAAGGACATTGAACAAAAATCCAGACTTCAGAAATAACAGATAGCGGTGTTAACAGCAGATGACCAATCACAGACATGAACAAGTCTACCAGCTGCAGAGCGTCATATTTTACAAACGAAGATTTAACTATAACGCTACAGAAATAGCCTACAACATGGTCTAAGTAGCACGACTGCAGCTGATACATGCAGGGAGACAGAAAACCTGTGTGAATGTCTAAATGAGCAGGCGGAGTCCATAATAATGCGTTGATTTGATGTGTTCTTATGAGCTGTATAAAAATATCAGCCTTATTCTTTCAGCTCGGCTGTGTGTCGGCGTTTCAACATTAAAAGACTTGTGCACTGAAGAAGTGGTTGTTCCTCACTTTAAAAAAACCTTTCATCACTTCAAAAACGAGATTAATTTATTTAACACACTCAAAATTTGTCCAAACATTGTTCTAAACTTCATAAAGCAATGAAACGAAAAATCCATTCATGTCATAAAATGTGCTCAAATAGTGGCTGAAAGACTGAATCTCAACATTTAGGCTACTGAAAACTCCCCTCATTACCTGCACCTACATCGCAAAAGGTGGGGTGGTACATGACTAAAGTCTCTGTGATAGACTTTAAGATAGCTACTAACCTAAAATAAATAGCCATTCATATTAACATTTATTTCAATATCCCTACCAAACTCATAATATTCAGCCTCACATAAGAAAAATTAAACCCATTTATTTTAACGGCTGCGACAGGCTGTGTGAAACGGACTGGGAGCAAATAAAAAATATTAAACACATTTCAAAGCAGTCAGTAGCCTACTGTAAAAAGCTGTAGGCCAATCAAAGCCCAAGGCCTTTAATCAGTCTCTGTAGGATGATGTCGCTGTAGTTTCTCCACATCAGGGCAGCAAACATAAAGCAGCCAATAAAACAGTCTGTGGGATTTCCTACAGATGGTGATGTCATTTTCCAAGAGAGCTGATTGGTCAGTAGGCGGCGCTGCTTTGTGGCACAGGCCCCAGGTGTACCTAATAAAGTGGCGGCTGAGTTAATGTATCACTGACACAATTAAGCCCCGATAACACAAGGGGCTCACATGCTTTTAAAGACCTTGTTTCATATTTTATAACACGTTTTTTCCACTTTAGTGTAACAGAAAATATTGTCGACATATCAGACAACAGATTTCATGTGACGTCGTTTCAAGATAATTTTTTCAGCTCAACAAATGTAAAAATTGAGTTTGTCCAAACGTCTTCACTGTATCTGAGCTTCTGTCATGATATGAGTCAGAAACAGTGTTTGCAGCTGTAAATAGTTTCCAGACTTTTGGTAGAAGTTAGAAATGTTTGAAATATCATGTCCTATCTAACAATGCTGGGAGGAGCAACTGAGGCTGATACTGTGCTTTTCTGTTCCTCTGTGTTTTTCTGTTAAACACACTTTAATCCTCATTTACAAGCAGAGAAGAGACGAACAAGAAACATCAAAGTGTTACATTTATAATCCTGTTATTGTCCTTTTATAGCTGATGTGTCTGTTTACTGTGTTCACAGGAGCATCTCCAGAGCCGTCTGTCAAGATACTTTATCAAACAAAGGACTGGGTCCTGCTGCAGTGTGAAGTTCTTGGTGCTTCTTCAAAACCTACAGTAGAGTGGCAGGACAGTGCTGGAAACAAACTTCCTGCTGAGGAGCCACAGGTCTCAGAAAGAGGAGGCAGCTTCTACATCATCCTCCAAACTACTGTGATGAAGACCGACCGCTATTGCTGTGTAGCCACACAGGAGGAGATCAGACATCAGATTTATACTGAGATCTACGTGAAGGTCAATGGTGAGATTCTTCTTAGTGATGTTTTTATATTTCAGTCAGTTCAATAGTTGTGTTATTAGTTTTTAAACATGTTTAAGTGTCTTCAGACTGAACACAAAGCAGATTGTGATGAAGATGTCAGCAGAAGTGTAAAAAGTTTCAAACTGAGTGAAAGCTTCACTCTTATACTGAGACTCTGAGACTTCATGGATCTACCGAGATGAGAGGAAGAATGAGAGGGTCTGCAGGGAAATAACAGAAAGAAACTCTGAGATCAGTCTGATCAAACACAGGAACACAAGAATTTAGTAAACTTCACTCACAAACCCAGTAACAGATTTATAAATGGCTGCTGCAGCCTGATCCTGGGGATCAACATGAAAACACCTCACGAGGGAGATTTAGAGACTGAAGTCTTTAGAATCAGACACTTTTTGAGCCACAAGTGAAAAAGACTGAACTTGAATAAATATTGATAGTTCCTGGTAATATTTTGACACCATGGAGGCACATACAGGCTTTGAAGTGCAGTTTTTATTAGACAATGGAAACTTTAATTGAAGTAATTAGTACCAATTGCAAAATACAGCTTGTCATTTCTTATTCAGGTTGAAGCTCCAAGTTTCAAACATTATCATTTTATAACTGGAGTAATTCCGAGTATTAAAACAGCAGAATCTGATGAGAGATCTTCTTAATGAAATAATGTTGTTTCACAGCAACATAAATTAGATAGTTTAGATTAGATTCACCTTTATTGTCATTATGCAGAGTACAGATACAAAGTTAATGAAATGCAGTTAGCATCTAACCAGAAGTGCAGAAATGGTGTTTTATTATACAGATAAGTGCAGTTGTAATGCTATTTCTATAAAGTCCTCCTGCTCTTAAACATTTTCCAAAAATAAAATATGTATTCCACTGTGAGCTTTTGTTCAGAGACAAAAAAGGAAGAATTGCATCAGGTTGTATTATTATTTAAAAATGTTTTTAGAGAGATTTAAAACTGTGTCTCAGTCTGTGTGTGTTCTGAAATCTGTATAAATATTCTTTATAGCATTTTATTAAAGGTTAAAAGTGTGTTTAGCTTTAAGAGTTGGAGCTTCAAGAGACTCGTGCTGCAACTTGAGAGAAAGTGTAGAAGTATCAGTGAGTTAAATGTACTTAAAGTAGCCAAAGATAAAAAAGTATAATTTGAAGTATCATCTGATAAATGTAGTGAATTATAAAGTAGCATAAATAGGAAATAGTCAAGTACCTCAAACTTGTCCTGACACTGCTCAGTGAAACATAAACGTATCTCAGCCTCATGTTTAGCTGGATGTTTAATGTTTCCTTAACAAAGCTCATCAACACTCGCTGTAACAGCAGCTGTGATGTAAACGTCCCTTTACCCCGACCACAACCTTTGCTTGACCTTAACAAGTGTTTTATATTCTCTCCCTGTCCAAGTCATGGACAGGGAGATAACAGCATGTTAAAATGAATCATTCCATTAACTAGTTTCTGATATGTGCTGTGACTGAGTGGAACAGTCTTGACTAAACTCATTTTAACTCTTTTTGTTATTGTTGTTTAGGACAATGACGACTTCTTGCACTCTTTGTTTTTTTATTTTAATATTCTGATTATTTTATGCAACTTAATTTTACTCTGTCTTCAATCTAAATTAATTTCATTCCAGGCAGCACAAAGTCAAGTGATGATCAATCTGCCCACTGAACTGTTGTTGTTGAGGACTTTATACTGACGCACCTGATGAATAAGACGAAGCTGCACAGAAACAATGTGATCAATAACGAGATAACATCAAATTATAACATAGGATAACATTTACATTTTAGCTGACACTTTTATCCAAAGTGATTTACACTCATATATAAGAAGGACAGTAAGTAAGTAATGAAAATAAATAATAAAGTGAAACGACCAGGAGACTCTGACTGAGGATTTCAGGCTGCTGCAGCTCAGAAAAGGTTTAAATATCTGTGATGTGTTCAGGAGCTTCAGTGTGAAATCTGAACCTGTAAAACTGAGAGGCAGCTACTGAAGACTGGAAGGTGTTTGTGTTTCTATGATGAGTTAAAATCAGCTTGTTTGATGAGCAGGAGACAGACAGGGACTTCTGTCTGAGGCCTGAATAAAGAGATGAATGAGGAGCAGAACTGCTGCATAAATACTGTCCGTTTACTAAATATTATCAGACCGCTTGTTGTTTTTAAAGGTCCTAAATGAGGGAGAAATTAATAGAAACATGAGTTCACTGAACAGAAGCTATTAATGTAAATATTTTGTAGCTAAGGTGAAATATATAATGTGACTTTTTAATTTTGATGTTTGTGTTATTGAAATTATTTGGGACAAGCCTGTGTTGCTTATTTTAATTTCTTAAGGTGCAACGCCAGAGTGCTGTCAGATACAGTTACACACTCAGAGTCCAGTTTATTCAGTACAGTGCGAATAGGCAGTCTAATACAACAGTTATGTTAAAATTTAAATCTCCTTCATGATTCGACTTCATGGTCATGTTGGAGGCTGTAGTTTGTGGTGCTGTTGAACTGTCTTACTTTGACAGGTGTTTCTGTTATTTTGTCCACCCCATGTATATCAGTGAGTGCAGGCTAAATAACAGAAACACGTCTCTGAAACAGTTTGAACACAAACTGAACATTTAAACCTTGATGAAGGAGATTTATTGCAGGACTGCATTAGTTTCAGGTGTTCCTAATAAACTGGACACTGAGTGTTTGCTGCTGCTGACTGTGATATTTGAGTTCTCTGAAAGTTCATGTTCAGCTTGTTTTATAATTTAAGTCTGGATTATAATTTAAATCTGGAGGACAAAACAAGGTCAAAACAGAAAAATGTTTTCTTGTTATGAGTTGATTTGTTGTTCTAACAACAGACTTCTGTATCTCTGTCTTTACTTTGATTAAATGTAAACATACTGATTAATACATGTTTTTATCTTCCAGAACCCCCACAATTATGAGATGGCACTCTTTTACAGAGCAATGGCATCAAAGACAATACATCAGGTCAAGAAGATCACGTCTCACATTTTCCAGATAAAGTGTAGCACGGCCCCCATCATGATCTGTAATACTTATAATATATAAATATTTTACACTGCAGATATTAGACTAGCAGCTAGCGGACTTTTCCATATTAAATATTATTCATACTCGTGCTAAACCAGGTGTGTTACCTGTTCCGTGTTTGTAAAATATCCACTGCTTCTTCTAACATAACACTTGATTTATACTTTTCTTATTTACTGGTCGTTTAAGTCGCTGCATCTATTGACAGAACAGAGTTATGTAACGTAACAGGTTGGGCTGCAGCGATCGATTCACTTTAGTAATCGAGTATTTTACAGATTATTTAACCGATTAATCGAGTAATCAGCGCTGCCTTCATGCTGTTGTGGTCGGCTGGTTCTGTTGTACAGAGCTGTTTTCTTTTAGCTTGAAATCATCCCATTCTTCTCTGACTCTGTTTCTTCTTCCTTCTCTGTTTTCTCTCTCTTCCTTCATGTTATAATCCTCACCATCAAATGGCATCGTCTTCACTTGTCCGCAGCGTAAACACGTTGTGCGACACTAATAATGGGCGGTGATGGTACAGTGGATAAGACACATTCCTTTGGTCTGAGAGACCCGGGTTCGAATCCCCTGTGAGACACCAATGTGTCGCTGAGCAAGACGCTCAGTTGCTCCAGAGGCGTGCAACCTCTGACATATATAGCAATTGTAAGTCGCTTTGGATAAACGCGTCAGCTAAATGAATAAATGTTAATGTAATAATCATCCGTGTGAAACTGTACATCAGTGCTTTTCTGTAATCTAGTTATCAACTTTCTTGAATCGTTTCAGCCCTAGTAACGAGTAGTTCACCTGCTCTGCTCCTTGAATACGCACAGAGCCCCCTCAGTGGCTCATCTGCCCACCAAAGCAGTCCTACAGGGAAACACTGTGTTGCTGTCATCTTCTTGTGCTGTAGATGCTGTTGAAAATTAATAATGTTGGATTACTATTATTCTTGTTCTTGGGAGTTTGGGTTAATGCCTGATCATTTAAAAATAATGAAGCCTTAAATTTAAAATGTTTTATAAATGCATGATTTTTCTAATAGTCGTGTTAAATAACCGTGACCTCAATACTGACCAAAATAACCATGATGAAGGTAAATAGTCTGTATTTTGTTTAGTACCTTTCTCGTCTTTCTGACTACTCAAAGCTCTTTATGTCTCACGCTGACGAGCAGAGCCGCCAACTTTTGAGTTCATCAGAAACAGAAATTATGTTACAAAACTCATTATAATTATGTTCATTTCATTTTCTTTATACCTGCACATTTTAATTCTACAACACCAAGACCACAAGGAACTGATACCTGTCCGTAGCATCACTCAAAAGTTTCATTAGCTGTGTTATTAATATACTATATAAGATACAAATATATTTAATTTGAGTTAATACCAGTCTGTATGATAGGAAGGACATTTTGGCAGATACTCACTTACTTGTTTGAAGGCTAAGACCTGGTTTTAAGGTTATAGTTAGATTGGGTTTCAGGTTAAGGTTAGGATCAGTGTTGTGGTTAGAGAGATGTGATGGTCGCAAGATGAAAGTGAGGTTGTTGAGGTGGTGAATGTGCATGAAGCTCATCCTGTTTTCATATGGAAGCATTACCACGACCACAACCTTTCCCTTAACAAGTGTTTATAAACTGTCCCTCATGGACAGTAAGATGACAGCAGGCCAAAATATATAGTTGTTACCTTTATCTCCCACCACCCGATATCTGGTTAAACAAAATACTTTTATACTTTTAATACTTTTACCGTGGACGTAAACACGATACTTCTTTAGCAGATTTTTTAAGTAATTCAGTTAAAATTTGTGCCCCATTTGGATGGAAACTTGATTTACAGACGACTTTTCATTCCACCTGTGTGTGTGGCAGCTTTAGTTTTACTCTAACATGAATTGATCTTTCCCTCACAGCTAACATATCTACACATCGATCATGTAGTTTCCCTGGACAGATGTTGAAATCATTCAGAATAAATGCAACAGTTTTATTATTTATTCCAACACTATTATTTACTGTTCAAAACGTCCTCACTGAGTTTAATCTGGGGTTCAACAGAATCATCTGTTTTACAGGTAAATGTTCTGTCCGGTGTTGAGGCTGTTTGCGTCACAGGAGTAGTTTCTTTTTGTCACTAATTTTAAAACCCCTGGTAGCTGGTCGTCAGTTAATCTCAGGGTCGGTGGTTCGATCGTCTTTCTTCATGTCCACGTGTCCCAAGTGTTCTTGAGCAATGATGGTCAGACCAGCACCTTGCATGGTAGCTCGCTGCCATCGGTGAGTGTGTGTGAATGATAAATGCTGTATTTACCAAATATTATCAGACTGCTTGTAGTTCTTAAAATAAAGTGAAAAATATATTGTGACTTTTTTTATTTTCATGTTTGTGTTCTTCCACATTATTTCTTTTTCTTAATTTCTATATAGGCCTGGGGGTGGTGATGGCGCAATGGTTAAGACGCATGCCTTTGGCGTGAGAGACCCACGTTCAATCCCCCACTGTGTCCCATCCACCATTGTGTCCCTGAGCAAGACACTTAACCCCCAGTTGCTCCAGAGGCGTGCGACCTCTGACATGTGTGTATATATAAGTCGCTTTGGATAAAAAGCATCAGCTAAATGTAAATATACAATCACTGTCCAGTTTATTAGAAACATCTAGCTAAAACTAATGCAGTCTAATAAACCAGTCCTGCAATAAATCCCCTTCATTAAAGTTATAATGTTCAGAGAGGCGTTGATTTAACTTCATGGTCTTTTTGGAGGCTTTAGTTTGTGCTGTTGAACGGTCTTAATACTGACAGGTGTTTCTGTTATTCTGTCCACCCCATGTATATCAGTGAGTGCAGGTTAAATGACAGAAACACGTCTCTGAAACAGTTTGAACTCAAACTGAACATTTAAACCTTGATGAAGGAGATTTATTGCAGGACTGTCAGACTGCATTAGTTTCAGGTGTTCCTAATAAACTGGACACTGAGTGTTTGCTGCTGCTGCTGACTGTGATATTTGAGTTCTCTGAAAGTTCATGTATGTTGATGTTTCTAACTGATGATGAACTTGTATCGTGTCATTTCCTGCAGAGCTGAATCATTTCTGTCCAAACGTTTGAATAAAACATGAAAAATGTCAAACTGTATGTTGTGGCTGTTTTTGATGTTTCTGTCTGTTCAAACTCTGAGAAAAGAAACTAAATAGATTTTACTGTGTTGGACCGATTCTAACATGATCAATATTTTACTGCAGTTTTGTAGGAGTGGTATTTCACAATGGTGGAATGCAACTACCAGTAAGTACATTTACTCAAGATCTGTACTTAAGTTTGAAGTACTTGTACTTTAAAATAATTTTCTGGGGGAACACAGTTGCTCAAACAGGTCGAGAGCGGCAACAAAGCTCTAATGTTATTGGAGCAGCAGTTAGTTTTGTGTTAAGTGATATTTTCTATCAGTCCCTACAAAAGGTAGCACCAGGGCATCAAACCAGGATCACCTCCAGTCCACCGCAGTCAGGATCCATCTAGTGCTCCAAGTGATGACTTGTCTTGTAACATCCGTTTAGCCAAACAAACATAAAAAACAGTGTGGAAGGACGGGGGTGTGAATAAATTGTAAATATAGTATTAGCAGACCAGAACCACCACAGGACAAGATTTTTCATTCCTATGTGATATCATAATTAATGCGAACACTGCTTGGACTAATACTTGAGGAATTTAACGATAGAAAGTCTTAAGCAAGTTTTGAATGCATGACGTTTACATTTAGTTGAGTATTTGTGGTACTTTCTGAACACTTCTTCCACTACTGGTATTTTCACTACTGGGGACACACTTTTTCACAAGTCAAAACTTTTGTAAAAGTGACGCTTTTATTGTGAAGGATCGAGCCGGAAGTGTTGCTACATTCGCAGCTTCCTAAAGCTGAGAAACCGAAAGTGTTTCGTTATTTGTGTTACAATGAAGTTAAATGATATTTAATCTTAAAATTACTATACAACTATGAAGTTTCTTCCTCTCATGTGTCTCTGTCTCCAGACTCGGTCTGGAACAACGTTTGCTGATGAACACGGTAAGAAAACTAATTACTTACACTAATAATCAAAATCCTGATAATTACCACAGATATTAGGCTACATGTTACGTAACAACACAAGTGCTGATGTTTTCTTTAGGAGCTGGTGTTCGGGGCGTCTCCTTCCTGCAGAGAAAACAGGAAAACACCTCTGTGAAGAGAATTAATGTGAATAACCTGCCTCAGTTTCCCTTTTCCACTTAAAGCTAAAGAAGAACAAAACAATGAATGATCCCTGCAATACATTTTTACTACTAAGACTAACATCGACTCTACTGAACGTGTATTCTGTAATACAGAAATTAAGACAGTTGAACATCTAATGCTGTCTTGCAAAGTAGACTAGTCTAAAATAATTTATTTATACAATTGGATTTTACACAATAATTTGACCATACCAGCCTCCACTTATAGTGACGTCAGATCTGGTTTGATAATGGAGGACAGAAAAGAGTTGGGATTTTTATACAACAACCAAACAAAATAGTTTTTACACAGATGTAAAGTCTTAAAAACACCCTGTCTATTTATTTAGATTCAATGAAATATTTAAATATAAGAAGAATTTGTAACTTAATACTAAATTAAACCAAGAGCTTTACTTGCTTTATTGTCCGAACACACGTGACATCACTAATCCAATAGCCTACATGACACACTGCTGTAAGATTCCTCCACTCAGGTTAAAATTGATTGTTTTGCGTCTGTTAATTATGTAAATGCTTCACCTTCTTTTTTTCTTGCTGCACTTCAAGTCTGTGCCTCCACTGGTAATTTGCACATTGCTTGTTATTGCTTAGTTCTGGTCTGTATTTTTTCTTGAAGACAGTGACGTTTGAAGCTTTGGGCGTCTTCAGTCATGTGATATTTCTTATCTGACACTAGTGAGTTAATTCAAGTAACATTAAACTTTTTATTTAATGTTAATATTACAGTAGTACAGTAATTTGTACTAGTTCCTCCTCCAGGTTGTGGATGGAGCCTCTGCAGTGGACAGATGTAGATTTAGCCAGAGTCAGGATGCCATCGTGCCAGGATGAGCTCCTTCTAGCCGCCTCCTCCTCAGAGCAACATGTTACCCTGGTTCTGTTTAGCTAAAGTTATTGTTGTAAATATTGTTCAGTAATCTTGTTCACCTGATGTGTGCCCTGTGTGGTGTGGTTGGTGCTGGTGTATCGTGCATCCGTTCCTGGTGCAAAAACCTCAAGTCCCACATGCCACAAGCCTCAATGCACCAGTCACAGAGTTCACTGTGATCCTGAATGTCTTTATCAAAGACATTACACACTATAAACAGATCCTCTCCCCTGCAATTGTACATGTACTCCTTAGGAAAATGGTATAGACCTGCATGTTGAGTTAGTCACCTCACCAACTGACTGCTACTATCCTCACAGTGACAGTGAGTGGCAAAATGCAGTGCACTAAGGGCCTGATTTACTAAAGGTTTGCGTGAGTAAAAACGTGTGCAAACTTGATATCACCAGCAAATTACCACGTAAGCTGATCTACTAACGGTGTGCACGCAGAATAACGTCTTTCAAAAGTGCAAGATAGCACCTGTTGCTCATTTAGTACTTAGCCTTAATGAATACTCAGTTTGGGGCATTTCAATTTTATTGTGCAAAGTAATGGGAGGGTAACGTGCAAATACATTTATTTACTACACGCAATGTGATCTAACAAGCCTAAACGCTATTTCATGTGAGTGCAACAGCATCTGTATTTAATACGTTTGAAAGGAAGGTGCAAAGTGTTGAGCAGAGATGGCTGCTGTTATCGCTGCCAGAAGGAGACACAGCTGAAAAATAAACAATATTAGATAATATTATTCTATATCCAATATATAGACATACAATTATTTTATTTATTCGATGAACTATATGAATAGAATTGTTTTTTGTATTTTGATTTAGCTTTGGCAACACTGTTGTGTTAACATTCATGCCAATAAAGCAAATTTCGATTGGACCTGACTTATTTTCTCCGTGAGATGGAAGAATGCGGACGGTACTGCGATGTTAGTAAATCGGGCCCTAAGAGTACCCAGATGGAGTGTCGCCATCTTGGCTACATAGCGGAAGGGGAAGGACCGCCAACATTTTTTCAAACTTGTCGGCAGAGGGAGCTGCAGCGATTGTAAAAAGTATTGCATCTTTATTTATTTTTGATCAAATTTAATTGAGGTCAAGTAAACAAACAAGCCAACAGATATTTTGTTGGTTGACAATTGTGGTCAAATGATGGTGATAATGAGACGCCTGGTTACAATTCACCATTTAAAAGAAATAGAAGAAGATGGGGTCAAATGTTGCTATAGTCATTTCTGTTGAGACAACATTACCCTGTCGAAATTCACTCACTACGAAAGTACATAGCGTGCACAGTGTACTGCTTGTAATTGTGTTCTAACAGAAGTTTTCAAATTGAGATCATTGACTATATAAGAAATGGATGACGTAATCATCGTGACGTCGCCCGTTGGTTTTTGGACTGCCGTTTAATCCTCAAGTTTGGCCGATAGGTCGCCGCCATGTCGAGTTTTTGCGTCCACCGGACGTGCCCATATTTGTGACCATAATCCCGCCATGAAGCATACTCTGCTTTGTGGTCTATTTTAAAACTAATGGGACCATGATTTACTAAATGAACATCACATCATATTGTATTGAAAAAGACATGAAACTAGTGATTGAAACTCACCAGGAAAGTGTGTCCACTGGGAGAAATGGACTATGAATCATCCCTGCTCTTTAACTTCTTTGAACCACTTCAGGGCCTAGGGAATGAGAATAGGCTGCCACCTTCGTACTCAGCGATACTCCTATACTCAACATCGACCTGGATCATCCTCCTTGGCATCGGTTGTCCGGCCGTGCTGGTGCTTGACGGTCCTCCTGCAGGAGGCGCACATGTCCTGACAGCAGGTCTTCAGATTCCCGGGATGCCTCTCCCTCTGGTAAGTGCCCCAGGGTGGACTCACCGCTGGCTTCATCTGCCTTACCTCTCCCCCCTCCTGCCACAACAACCAGTGTTAATGTGGCTACAGCTAACACAACAAAGTCCGCTAATGCAAACTGTTTCTTGTCTCTTGTCTCACAAATATATCCTTGTTGGTGATTCCATGGTCAAATCAGTAGCTATTCCAAACTGCATTACGTCATTTTCGGGTGTGAAATTGTTCGATTTACATGCACATATTTCGTCCATCATTAAACATCACCCATCTGCGCACACTGTATTTGTTCATTGTGGTTTCAGCAATCTTAGACGCAAACAATCAATTAAACTCCAGCGTGACTATGAGCTTCTCACGGACACTATTGAGAGTCTTGGCAAAACTTGTGTAATGTCAGGTCTAATCCCCACCCTCCAACAGAACTCTGAAATGTTCAGCCGCCTCTACAGTGCTGATCAGTAGCTATCTAATTTCTGCTTGGCATGTGGTTATGGTTACATTGGTCACGTTGACTCGTTTTGGAACAAAGACCACCTGTACAAACAAGACAATCTTCACCTTATCAGAAAGGCTGAGTGCTGAGGCAGGAATTCAGAGTTATGGACCCAAAATGCAGACACCAGTACAAAGCAGGTTCAGTTTGAAGAAATTTTAATACAGTCCAACAGAAAAATCACTGGCTTACACTGGGTGTAGCAGAAGCCCAAAACTAAACAGAGCCAAGATCCCAACAGGTAAATCCAAATCACAGGGAAACCACAGGAAACGCACTCAATAGGCCCTATGTGAAGATGACACCAGGACTAAACAGAAGTGAGGGCAATATACATGCACACAAGCAGGCAGGGCAATTAACACAGGTGAGGGAGACACTAAGTAGACACAGGTGAACCCACTAAAGTAATCAGTGAAAAGCACAGGAAGTAAAACAAGACAACACACGATCTCAGTACGCCACATTGAAGGACATCTCAATTCTTAGGCTGCGATCGAAAAGCCTAAAAAAAATCTCCTTTCCTAACCACCTTTCCTCAACCTCGATGGAAAACGTCGTGAGGTCAAGGAAAGATGTGAAGGAGAATCCATAAGGACTTAGGAAAAGAGGACGGCGGGTCTCAGAGAATCCGACTGCTCTTTTCTAAGCGACGTATAGCAGATAAGGTTCCTAAATAATGGACAGGGTTGTCACATTGAGAATGTTTGCTCACACCCATAGGCTATTTATCTGTGCAGAGAGAGAGAATATATGCAGCGCTCTGTGATCAAATACGATTTTACCCATTTTAAATAGTAACAAAATTAATGGAAATCAGCGTTGATAATGTGGCAGGACGCCACAAATAAATCAGTGTGTGGGAAACGCCTACTGTAGAGGTTATCCAGCTTGATCATTGACTTTATTAAGGCGAGGGTGTCAGCATCTGTGACTGAAGTAAAATGAATTTGCTGAAGGCTGCAGTACATAACGTGAGGCTACACGTTGCAACATTATCCTCACTTTGATCACGTTACAAGACCAGTAACAGCTCGCCTGGGTCTCAGTTATTGTTGACAGTTTAAGATATCTGCATATTAGCAAGTTATGGCATGAGAGAGAAAAGGCTTAAAAGCCAATGGTAACTTACATGGTGATCAACCTCATTTATCTGTCATGGTTTGTGATTTATTTTTTATTAGTGTAGAAAACACTTCATGGCTTATTTCAACAACCGGGAAACAAAAAAACGGTGTTGAAACAGTATTAGATTACAAAAAAGCCAAAAGAAAGAAGGTAATTGTGAGTCTTATTAAAGTATCATAATGTGCGTCTGTATTGGAAGGATCTTACTAAATGTGGTTGATGGATTTTTATCGTTTGACTTTGAGAACGTGCGCAGCTTTAAATTTTGCCGCCGCAAGGAATTGTGGGACGGCATTCTCTCCTTTCCTTTCATAAAGGATGGTCCGGTGTACCCTATGCTAAAGGAGATATGAAAGGAAGCATTGAGGCACCTTTCCTCAGCTTTTAGAGAATTCGAACAGCTCTTATCATGGCTGCCACTGAAATACTTCCAGTTTACTTCAGTCAGTGAGGAACCTTCCTGAGCAAAAAAGACTTTTCGAACTGTAAATAACGGCAGGATGAAGCGCCTCCCCAGTGACACTGTGCGCATTTACGCACGAGCCACAGCAACATAAATTAATAATGATAAATCCTCCTGACACGCCGACAGGATGTTTTGATAATTCATGTTCTGTGTTCTTCTACACACCTAAAAGGTCTCACACGGAGTCCAGTTTCATGCAGTAAAAGTGTTTGGAGTAAAGCAGCCGTCCTCCTGATCCACCCTGAGCTCCATCAGAGTCTGAACGTGGATTATAGAAGCTAAAGTTTAATTCTGTTTCTCTGTCCTGTCAAGTTTATTACTGCAGGTTTCTTTGTTATGCTGTTTCATTAAGGCACGGATGGAAACGTTTAAATGACTGACAGCAGCCTTTAAAATAAAAACACTCCTACATCAATATAACACACAAGAAAGAAATCGCCTGGAAAGCTACAGGGACCGGTGGAGGTGTCGGTAAAACGACCATGCTGGTCTCTAAATCTGATAAAATAATTATTTGGTGGATGATTTAGGCGTATAGGCTTATATATGTTCCGTTAATCACACCAATTCAGCTGCTATAATCGTGACAAAACAGCTGCTGAAGTCAAATTATTAGGCTGTAATATCAACCAGAGCATTCAGACCTGATCTGTTTCATGTTTTAATAATAGAGCCCATGTAGTCTGCACGTTATTCCAACAGTCGAGGGTAATTGGAGTCGGACAAGTCAATAAACTGCACTTAAGACGCAAGCAAAGGAAAATAAAGCCGCTCATCTAGCCGATGAGCAGTGCTGGAGAAACTACTTTGTAGAAAAGAGAATTAGTTATAAAACTTGTTTGCTTTAATCAGCCTTGGATTTAAAGTATATTTTCTTTGATGCACACACATTAAGACTGAACATCATGTTTAAAGATTGATGAATGCGTGTATTTTGTTATGGAGGACAGAGTGCTGGGAAATATGGCACAGGTTGGATGTGTTTGTGTAACAGGGGGTGAATGTGTTAGATGCACAAACACTCACAACTTTCGAGACGATCGAGGCAGTGCCAGAAAATCACGTGACTGGACAGCGATCCAGTCCAACCTGATGAAATAGGTTGACTCATTCAGTAAGGGCCTTTTTCCGAAACTGCTTGCTACTCCCTCTCCTTACATACTTCCACTCCGTTAGCGCGTTCATGCGGAAGCAGTGGTTCAATAGGATTGTAGTCCAGGTGTCGCACTGCCGTCACTAGACGCAGCCTCGGATTCCTCGACGCTTCACTATAAAGCATATTGCTTGTGTTCAACAGAGATCTAACCACAGAGGCTGTAGCTAAGGATCCGGCCAGCATCACTGCAAACAGCGTTACTTCGTCAGCATGTTTATTTCAGCTCGGGCGCTTCTGTTCTTCTTCGGTCTGCTGGCTTTGTTTGGAATTATAACGTTACTTGGAAATGCGAGCGGTAAGAAACTTAATGGCCACTACGTTTTATGTACTAACGTCTTGTGAGTCTTGCACTGTAGTTTAGAATAAGTTCATAAGCGGGTGCTTGGGTGCGGCCGCCCCAGGGCCCCAGCTGGTAAGGGGGCCCCTACGAGGGCAGTGTTTTCCCTGCCCTCGTAATGTCAAAGTTAATGTTAATGTCATAACGAACTCCGAAGTGAGTTGAAACAATAGCTGATTAACGTTTGCAGACAATGAAACCGACGAAAGATGTTTGAAGAGACTTTATAGAAATTCTTCAGTAAAGTGAATAAAAAAAGGTTCTTGTTTAATGTACACTGATTCCTATTCTCACCTTGCCAGTTTCATCTGTAGCCTTATGAGCGTGTATTTTTGCTTAATGCATTCAGTCTATTAAACATTTTGTTAAATATGTTTTTTTTTAAATGTTATAAATACTTAGTTCAATGAGGATACAGTTCCTGCCCATTCAGACTCATAATGCTGTTTACTTTTTTCATGAGAATGAAGACCGACTAAACCATGTAGACATACTGACAGGATGAATGTTCTGTGTACATTAGCAGCTCCTGATCAAGAGGTCAAGGTGACTTCTACATCATCTTTACTAAAACAGCACATTAAAACAATTAACACAGACAAAAAACAAAATTCCTGGTGTCAACTTCCTCCACCTTTTTATTATTATTTATTACAGTCTATGGCTTCTCAGAAGGGCCTTGCTCAACGTGGGCGGGGTCAAACGTTTAACCCCTTCATCTAAATTTACATAAATATGAATTTTGTCTTCTGATAAAGGTTTCAGCTTTCAAAAATTATTTTTTCTTGACATAAATCAAACTTGTTGGTGATGAGCTTAATACATTTACCCTAATAGTAAACTATTTTACAACTAGTTTAACATTAAATCCAGTTACAGTTGATTCATTTCTGTGGGTTGTTTTTATTTATTTAATCCTTGTGCAATAGTTCATGTGCATTTTGTTTTCTCTGAGCTACTTATTTGAACATAATGACTAAAATAATCTTCTTCTTTCAGGGTCGGGTGACGTCAGAGTGGTTGTGAAAGAAGGAAGTGACGCCATTTTACCCTGTTCCCTCAGCAACAAGGAGAACATGGAGAATAAAGTCTTTGACTGGAAGAAAGATGGTCAGAAGGAGATTTTCTTTTACAATGCAGGAACTCATTACAATAACGGCAGAATAGGTCAAGATCATCAGTTCAAAGGTCGCGTCTCACATTTTCAAGATGAGCTGAAGTACGGCAACGCCTCCATCATCATCAGAAATACGAAGGTTACTGACAGTGGAGACTACACCTGTATTTTTCCACATCTTCAGCCAAGACAAATATTCCACATTCAGCTTGTTGTTGGTGAGTGTTTTCATTAAACAGTTAATCTGTAAATATTGTTTGTCAAGATAAGTTCATCTCCAGCTGTCCCTTTAGGTTTGTTTTGATTCCAGCTGTCTGTTCAGTCGTCTGTTTAAACCACTGACAACGAGGAACACCTTGAAAGTACGACTTTAATAACATATCAGCAATTTAATATATGAGAATCACATACAGTAGTTATTCCGAAAACAATTACATTTATTAATTTTACAATGAAAATCTGCAACACCTTAACCAAGATGTTTGTAACAGATATGATATAATCATATTACAGCAACTCTTGAAGTTATAATGTTACATTAAGTTGAAACTTTATTAATCAACGCTGTGTTAATGTTTGAAGCCTTAGTAAGGTCAGACAAAATTTGGACACCTGCCCCCTGTACCCCCATAGTTTCAGCCTGTGATGTTCTTGGTATCAAACATTGACCTGACTTCTTCTCTTCCTGCTTTACCTCTACTTGTTGTTTTTTTTCCACAAAAGAAACTATAATCAGAGACATGCAAGTTATCGTGTCACCTGACTTCTGTGTCTCCACATCATGTCAGAACTGAGCCTCTGCTGCTTACTGCTCTGCGTCCGTGCATCCGATCTCAGGTGACTAACATCTTTGTTGCTGTTGAGCTCTATCCACTTCTGAGTTTTCTTGAAGGAAAAGTATATACAAGTGTGTATTCAGTCTTTTAAATCTAACATTGTTTACATCCATGTTTGCTGGCTGTAAGTCTGCTTATAATCTTCTGCTGCTAGTCTAACTGTCTGCTGTCTGTAGCTTCATATTAACCGCACATTAACCGTCTTCTTGTCATCTTCTCTAACTCCATACAACAGAGAAAATAAGCAAACAGGAAATTGGTAAATACATTTCTAAATTTCACCAGCTGAGCTCAGTTTGATTCTGATTTTGATTTGAGATTCTGACGCATCTTGTCATCAAGTAACTAGACGATGATCTAAACTAGAGCCCGACTGATATGGGGTAATTTCATTTGTTTCATAACAGCAGGAATATGTCTCTTAAAGAGGTGGTATTCTGCTCATTTTCAGGTTCAAAATCTTATTTAGGGGTTGTACCAGAACAGGTTTACATGGTTTAATTTTCAAAAAATTAATTTTCATTTTTCCCTCATACTGCACTTTGCTGCAGCTCCTCTTTTCACCCTGTGTGTTGGACGCTCCGCTCTTGAGCTACAGAGTGATGCATCTTACTTGTACAAAATCTTTGTTGTAAGTTGCACATGCGCAGTTCCCAGGTAAGGACTACTAGCCAATCAGAAGCAGAGAAGGGCGGGTCGTAAGAAACAAGGTAGTGTGATCCAAATCAAAGCCGCTTCAGACTGAGACCGTAACCTAACAGATGGTAGAAGTTACTCTCAAGTTCGCAGCATCATTGTTCCACATCTTACCATAAACTACTACAAAAATCACCATATTTCAACTCAATTTTAATAAAAATTGGTGTTTGCTCAGTAGCTTTCACATCGGGTGTAACGTTAGCATTATAGTTATAACTTTAGCTGTGTTAGCCAACGTTTACAACAACTCCGCACGTCAACAGTCTGAAGTTACATTGCTGTGGTTATTTTAAATATAGTTTACAACCAATAAAGCGCAATACCATAGCGCAAATCGATAGACGCGACTCTACTCGGCCCTGCTCCGTTTTCCATTGCAGACAGTACCCAGAGATGCTTGTCGTCATAACGCCACGTAATGTTCAATGCGATCCACACAGCTTTCTCGTTTTTAAGTTAAAACGTTTGAACCTTCCTCAGAATGTAAAGACAGATAAACGGTATGAAAACCTTCCAGCTGTGTTTCCTCTGCCGTTGTTGCTGCAGCGGTCTGTGTGACGGCGGGAGCAGAGGGCTCTGTGAGCGGGCGGCTGGCCGGCCTCACACCCTCCTCCCGCGGGTCACAGCAGGTTTCCCCCCGCAGCCACTCGCGCAGCTCAAATATTCAAGCATTTTTGTTCCGCCATCACTTCTCTTAAAACTGTCAATATTATAAATCTACACAGCTGATTTCTCACCTCAAAACTTCTCAGAAGTGGATTAAGTGGTAAAATAACGTATGAAAACTGTAAAACTTTCTGTTGCTGGTCTCTGGTGCAGCAATGATGATGCAGTGAATACTGAATATTCTCTCTGACCAATCAGCAGTCTGTCGTGTTTTCACGTTACATTTTAGTATCCCTCAGCTCGCTTGGAACCTCGACGGAGGTGAGGTGATCGGAAAAAAAGTACCTGGAAGCAGGTGCAACATTTCTACAATGAAAACCAAACAAAGGCGAGTCGAGCCAAAGGGCCTCGGCTCAGACTAGCTTGGTTTGAGGGCGTGTCTGACCCTGCTAGCTGCTTGGCAAGCTTTATAGGATGCGTTTTCATTATGACGTCACAAGTAAAGGAAGTGAAGGGCTGGACTACAAACGAGCTGTTTTCAGTTCAGAGCAGAGCTTTCTGTGGGAGATGGGAACTCCCTTTGGGCTGGACTTTGGGCTTTTTCACTTTGCAAACCTGTTACATGCACAAAAAAGAGACAATAATGGAGAGGGGAAAAGCCAAAAAGCATAATACCTTATCATAATACAATAATACATATCCTTCACTCAGGTGTTGCATAGTTTGCCGACCAGTTATACACTGCCTCACCACAAAAACCAGAAGAAAACAATCAGCTGGGAGAGGGCTGTGTTAGCGGTGAGGCGGTCTTCTGCCATGTTAATTACGTGACTTAAATAATTATAATAAAAACAGCCCCAGTCACTTCTCTCCTGAAAACATTCAGGACTAACCCTCCTGTTTTTAATTGCCCTCTTCCGGCTCACAGCAGTTTAATGTTACAGTAGTTGGGTGTTGAAAGCTACGCTGCTGACAAATGTGATAGTATTGCTAAATTACCCACAAAGCTAATGCCGTGTGTATCAGTTGAGAAGCGCTAACATTAATGAGCCGCTAAACGATAGTTTCTGGTGTATTCTAAATATATCTGTGAGTCGGCCTGTCTGAAATGATTAAACCAGAGTGGACCTCTTTGTGTGACGTTGTAGATGTGAAACGCTGCAGTCAGAGCCATAACGGCTCTGGTTGTAGTTATAACGTTAGTTAAATCTCAAAGCTGCAAGTCCTCATTATAGACAGTCATGTAGTACTAGATGCATTCATAGACGGCATGATTTAGACAGATGATGAGAAATGGTTTCTCGTAGCTTTGGTTTGAATTAAAGAGTGCTGTTAAAGGGATGAACTAGATGTGAATGTGCTACATTGAAATTATGGCAGATTATGTGTAAAGTGAAATAAACATGCTTATTCTCTCTCTCTCTGTTTACAGACGGCTGAAAAAGCTGCACCTTCCAGCAGCAAATATTTATTGATGTGCAATTGTTTACATGTTCATTTTTTGAGACAGTAATCTATTTTTATTAACATAATCCATTTAGGAAAAGGTTTTATAGCCCACATATATACCTCTCATGCTCTCTCATGGCCTTTGCTGTGAATCAGCTTCTGCTCATGACAGACTCTATTTTAGATGTTAACAAATGACTCCATTAGTAGTCTAATAACACATGACTAGTTTATAACATCACCATGTGCATGAATTAATGTTGTAATTTGTCTTTCAGACCTCACCTTTAGAGACCGATTAGGAGAAATCTCAGGTGAGTGGTGATGTCACTGATCTCTACATCTGTAATGTGTGCTACAACTCTCTGGGCCTCAGGATCATTAAAACTCTTGGAGCAGTACCTTCATGTTCATTAATCTAGGGCTGAAACAATTCATTGATTGCAAATTCTTTGCATCAAGGCTTCTTTTAACCCATGTAACTATACAGCACACTGTTCGCACGAACATTTATTACTTTCGTGCTTATGCTGTGTGAACACAACGTGATTATGATGCCGCTGTTTGCAAAGTGGAGGAAGAGAGAAAATGGCGAGGGACAAAGAAGAAAGTGTCCAAAGTATGGGATTATTTCAAGTTAAAGAAAACAACAACTCAGACGGTAAAGTTACCGTCCGTCCAACGAAATTTGTGGCCTCTGCAACAACACGACGGCGCCTGGTCAGAAAGCAGCTGGTGTTCTGCCAGCGGACCACAGACAAGGTAACAGTAACAGCAGCTTTAGCATTTAACTGAAGTCATGATTGATTGTTGAGTTGAAGGCTAGCCAAATAAGCTGCAGCCAAGCCAAAGTACTTCTTAAACGACGCATCGATGATGAAAGCTTCGAGTACTAATATCATTTTTAGCTTCAGCCCTACACTAATGACTACAGATGTACAGCAGGTTTAGGCAGAAGTTGAGCTTCTCTTGACAATAAATATTAATACATCTGATAATCATGAGATCATTATCTCATTTTGAGATGAAACATGTATTGATCTAAGTCTGTCCTGATGTTACTGATCTCCACACCTACTGTTCATCAGCTGCTTCTGGGATTCAATTTCAAAAAGAAACATTACAAATGGCTCCAGGTTTATTTCTGGTTAACACGTGACTGTAAGTACACTTAGACCCATGCTGTGTCTTTAAGCTAAGCCTAGTTCACACTACACAATTTAATGTGTTAATTGTTCATTTTTGGAAACCAGTTGCAGCAACCTAGATGTGATGTAGTTAAACGTCAACAGGATAAAACGTGTCTGCATCGGTGTCATTTACACTGGGGACATGATCCCATCACTTTTTAAAGCATTTGTTAAAAATGTTTTGAAAGATGACCTGAAACAAGAAATGTTAAATAGCAAATGAAAGCTTGCTTTGAGAAAGGTTTATTTGCACTTATTTATTTACTTACCGTAAAACTTCAATTAATAGCCGAATCCCAAATAGCTGCCTACCTCCTTTACTAGCCTGGTGTGGGAACACATTTTGACAAACGCCTCTGCCTCCATTAAACGCCTGGTGTGGTTTATAGAAGTTCTTTGGATGTATAAAACCTCTTAAACGCTGCGGGGTCGCCGCTTTAGCTGCTTCTTAGCTGCTTAGATCGTTAATACAAATATTAATGTTTAAACATCAGTATGGACATGCTACACATTGTTAGTTCGGTTAGATTCTCCACAATTTAGTTGTTCAGTTAATTTAAGGGAAACAAAGAGCCTCAAAGTCTAATTCTTATAGATTTACGGATATAACCTGCCTGGTACAAGAGACGAAAGGAAAAAAAGTGCTACTCCCGTTACCTTTGAAGCGCTCGTTAAGTCCGAATGTGTCCGTTCCTTGATTATTTATATTCCTTTAGTCTGTAAGGGTCCACCGATCAAAAGTATCAACACAGCTTTTCATAAAAAGTAGTTGTGAGTCCTGTCATGTGAAGTCCATCACATTCTCTCATCCTGCACCGTGTTGTTTTCGTGATGTTACTTCAAACTAAAAGTACATAAGCCGTCTGTTGGAGCTTTACAAATGAATGATGTTCTAGATTTGATAACGCATGTTTATTTTACTTTAGTGTAACAGAAAATATTGTCGACATATTAGACAACAGATTTCATGTGACGTCGTTTCAAGATAATTCTTTCAGCTCAACAAATGTAAAAATTGAGTTTGTCCAAACGTCTTCACTGTATCTGAGCTTCTGTCATGATATGAGTCAGAAACAGTGTTTGCAGCTGTAAATAGTTTCCAGACTTTTGGTAGAAGTTAGAAATGTCCTAAAATATCCTGTGTATCATCTGAAATGTGCAGCAGGTGCAAAGCCGTCTGTCACTACACTGGATCAAACAGCTGATCGGGCCCTGCTGGAGTGTGAAGTTCTTGGTGCTTCTCCAAAACCTACAGTAGAGTGGCAGGACAGTGCTGGAAACAAACTTCCTGCTGAGGAGCCACAGGTCTCAGAAAGAGGAGGCAGCTTCTACATCGTCCTCCAAACTTCTGTGACCAAGACTGACCGCTATCGCTGTGTAGCCACACAGGAGGAGATCAAACATCAGACTGAAGCTAAGACCTACGTGTATATCAGCGGTGAGATTCATCCCAGTTTCAATTATTTTAATTGCTAATGTGTAGTTCGCAGGTTGTGATGAAGACGTCTGCACGAGTGTAAAAAGTTTCAAACTGAGTGAAAGCTTCACTCTTATACTGAGACTCTGAGACTTCATGAATCTACAGAGATGAGAGGAAGAATGAGAGGGTCTGCAGGGAAATAACAGAAAGAACTGGGGTCTCATTTACTTCTTTATCAACTGTGCGTAGAACGGGCCCGGCGCCACGAGGGGGCAGGAGGGGGCTTTGCCCCCTCAGTTGTACTGTCTGCCCCCCCCAGTCTAGAACCAACAACGAGCAAAATTTACCTGCTGCTGTTTATCAATTGTCGGGGTTACGTAGGATTTTTAATAAATTTATGAGAATTAATACCAAATTATGAATTTTAATATTCAGAAAAGATCAATTCATAAAAGCTCTCGTTTTGCACGGGCACGACTGGAGTTGTTATTAACCTAGAGACTCCGGACCTCTAGGTAGCTTTTAATAATCATACAATTATTCACTAGTGATCAATTAGCTAATAATTGCTCAATTATCTTAAATCAATCAGTCAGTCTCATATCTAAAGGGTAAATTCTCATGATAGGGACTTACACAATTTCTCATTTATTTAAGGACAGTGCACATTAATCAACCTTTTCTGTAAATGTGCCAGTGTTAGCCAGCAGGCTAATTTTCAACTGTAATACACACAATTCCTTGATTACAGTGAATTTATTAACTAACTAAGGTGATATAAAAAGGTGGTTAAATACATCAGAGAAATAAACAATGGCTAAACAATGAAAATGGAGGTTCGATTGTGGGAGAATTTGACTCATATGGCAGCTATGAGCAATTAGATGATAACTCGGTTAAGTCTAGGAGTTTCAAGGATTACATATGCTGGACTAACCAACTATTGGACATCCCTGACCATAGAATGCTTTGTTTTGCCTTACGGTAGGTCGACGGCCTGCCTTGCCCTGTTGCACGATACCCACTCTAGCTGCCCAATTCTTGTTTTTTTACTAGGGGATTCTCCGCGGTTCTCCGTGTCTGGAATGAAGAAAAACCCTCAAGGGTTGGCCGTCCTCCATCTGGCAATTTGGCTGTTTTCAGATTTCCTTCGTTGCCGCTGGCGAGACCACGTGGCTTGGTCTGACCTCGGTGAAGTTGGCTTGACGAAAAAGCTTAAAAGGGAACTTGGTCGTTCTGGAATTAGACGAGTGTAACTCAACGGACTGATAACTTTAACAAAACAAAAGAAAGAAAATAAAACAAGTAAAGTTGCTGGAACTGAGGGAAACTGAAGTCGCAGCACTTGGCGTGTGTAGCTTCAAACAAAAGAAAAGCTTTTGTTGCGCCGGGCCGAACTCTTAGGGCGTTGCTGGGAGAGGGGGCACGCCAGGCGAGAGTGGCCGAGTAAGAGAGACAGCGCTGTTTTGTCGGTTGGGGCGTGGTTCCCCAGAGGGCAGTCCTTCGCCTCCCGGGGGACGGGCTTCCGGTTCCCGAGGGACTGTCTTTCTAAACTTTTAATATGTCTATAGAAAGGGAAAAGAAAATCTATTAGCGCGTATTATAATCAAACATCTTCCCACAATCAAACCTCAATTGTCAAATGGTTGTACCGCTCTTAGTTTAAGCATTTGATAAAAAGGAGAACAACTGTCAGTAGTTAGACCTTACAAGGTTAGCACTTCATAGGAATCACAGATGAGAGGAACTCAACTTGCTTTATAAATATAAGCTATTGGCTGTTACACGTTCTTAGAGAATATAAGCAAGATACACGAATGGCATTAGATTATTGACAAGATAAATACAGAGTGTCATTTATACATTAACGGCATTTCCAACGATGGCATGTAATACTTATTTTGTCCACTTGGGGGAGCTCAGGTTACATGAGGAAAGCGCTGTTTAATCCTAAAACAGTCTTTGCTCAGGAGCTGGGAAATTCAGTTATTTAACCTTAAATTCAAGCTGGCAATAAATAGAATATAGGATGACATTTCTTTATCCTCATTTCTAAAGGAGGTGTCAAAGTATTGTGAACAAGCATTGGTTACACATAAACTGAAGGAAAGTCCTCTCTGCAAAAGTAACTACTTTAGATTCTTTTCAGCAATAATAAACAGATAGCAACAACATGGTAACATAACTAATCAAATAGAGGCAAACACTACTAACTTAGCAAGGATTAGTATTTGAAGAGAACAGTTTATAATGAAACATTGTTTTAGCTCAAGAAGGCAGGACTTGTGTCCCCCTTGTCACGCCAAGGAGTGTCTTTTTGATGTGAGGTAATTAAAAGCGGAGGAAGGTCTGCTGCCACCGTTTAACAGTCAGGCAGTTATCAGGCTGCGGAATTAAAGGTGCCAGTTTTACGATCAGACAGCTCAGACACAGCACGTAGGAGAGAAACCTTTCACCTTTTCCTTTGGGTCTCTTCAGCCATCTGTTGAATGTTGATATCTCACCCCCTCCTTTCTTTCTTCCAGAGAGAGAGGAATAATTTTGAGTAATACAAAGTTACTAGTAACCATATCTGCCTGATAAATGTAATGAAGTAGCATAAAATTAAAAGTCAAAGTACCTCTTGCTCTGCTCAGTGAAACATAAACGTATCTCAGCCTCATGTTTAGCTGGATGTTTAATGTTTCCTGTTAACAAAGCTCATCAACACTCGCTGTAACAGCAGCTGTGATAAAATCCAGATGTGGTTCTGAGCCGTAATCCAGAGTCCACGGTGGCCTCGGCTCAGGGTGCAGAGAAGCTCGGCTGTAGTCAGATCGCCTCGCACATTTGCAGATCTCAGCACAGCAGGAGTTTAGCAACAGTCACATGTAAACAGGCTGAAGTAGAGGCGGCAGGACAGAGATTCAAACCTTCTTCCTACTGATGAGCAGCACGTCTCAGAAAGAGGACGATGCTACGACATTACCCTCCTCACTACTGAGACCAGAACCAGAACCAACCTCTTAGCTGTGTAGCCCAGCAGGAGGCGACTGGCCATAAGATCAATGCTAACATCACTGTTCCTGCTGAGACTCATCCCAGTGCTGTTTGGATCTGCTGACAGTTTTAGCTTCTAGATTTCAGGAGCGTGCACACCTTTAGATGTTCTTTGTGTCGGCTGTGATGTTCAACCTGCTGTTTATGATGTGCAGCTACGTTCTGACTGTTACATTCACTTTTTATCATCTGTTTCAGGGCCCCCCAAAGAGCCCGCCACTGAGTACTGCATTGGATGGACTGTTGCTTCTGTAGTTTTTGGCACGCTTTTGTTAGCTGCTGTTCTTCCTGTAGCTGTACTTATAGCAAATGATCTCATCAAACTTACATACAAGAGACGTACATAATTTATTTTATCATCATATTCATGATGAGCAGACATGTTTTTTTTAATATGTGTCTCACTTGTTCTGACAGTTGTTTTATCTTCTTCTGTTAGTATTTACACCAGGGTAGGGTCAAGGGTTTTTCTTCCTGCAGGTTCACCACCAAAGAGAAAGAGTCCGTCTTAACTCATGATTTTGGCACATGATCCAGTATTGGATGGAAACATTACTTTGCATTTTGTTTTTCTGATTTTCTGGATATTCAGTTACAATTTGCACTACATTTCTGTGGAAACTTGACTCACTGCAGGATTTTCACTTTGCCTGTGAAAGTGGCCACTCTGACCAGCAAAACAACACTTTGCCTTCATACAGACTAGTTTGTTTCAAATAGGAAGCATTTTTTTGAACTGCTCCAAAACAACAAGATCACACAGATCCTCAAAAGTAGTGACCTCCAACGCAGCCAACCAACGTTTAAAATGACCAGTCACGTCCCGAGCAAACTCCATATAAGTTTGACCACTACGTTTCTCCCAGGACCTAAAACGTTGGCGATATGCTTCTGGTACCAACTCATACGTCTTTAACACAGCCGACTTGATTTTTTACGGAGAAAGAAAACATAAATTAACTCAGGTGTTCAACAAAAACAGAAAGAAAACATAAATCAACACAGGTGTTCAACATAAATTAACTCAGGTGTTCAACAAAAACAAAACATAAATTAACTCAGGTGTTCAACAAAAACAAAACATAAATTAACTCAGGTGTTCAACAAAAACAGAAACAAAACATAAATTAACTCAGGTGTTCAACAAAAACAAAACATAAATTAGGTGTTCAACAAAAACAAAACATAAATTAACTCAGGTGTTCAACAAAAACAGAAACAAAACATAAATTAACTCAGGTGTTCAACAAAAACAGAAACAAAACATAAATTAACTCAGGTGTTCAACAAAAACAAAACAAAACATAAATTAACTCAGGTGTTCAACATAAATTAACTCAGGTGTTCAACAAAAACAGAAAGAAAACATAAATTAACTCAGGTGTTCAACAAAAACAGACAGAAAACATAAATCAACACAGGTGTTCAACAAAAACATAAATTAACTCAGGTGTTCAGCCGACCTGATTTCCTCGGGCAGGCTGTTCCAGAGCCTCGGGGCCCTGACAGCAAACGCTCTGTCCCCTTTAGTTTTCAGTCGAGACTCTGGAACAGACAACAGACCTCTGTATACCTGTACCTCAAGTATATTTGTGTGTCATCAGCATAAATATGAAAAGAAATGCCATGTTTATGGATAATATGTCCAAGGGGAAGCAGATACAAGGAAAACAAAATGGGTCCTAAGACCGACCCCTGAGGCACACCATATTTAACTGGACAGAATGAAGAGACATAGTTGTTTACAGACACGCAAAACTTCCTATTTGACAGGTAGGATGAAAACCATTCTAGGGCAGTACCAGAGATCCCCACCCAGTGCCTCAGTCTGTCTAACATGATGTTGTGATCAATGGTGTCAAAAGCAGCGCTAAGGTCCAGGAGTACAAGGACTGAGCACATACCTTCATCAGCAGACATTAAAAGGTCATTGGTGACTTTAAGCAGGGCAGTCTCAGTGCTGTGGTACTTCCTAAAACCAGACTGAAACTTTTCAAATAATTTGTTATTTTCCAGCACAGTGAGCAGCTGTTTGGACACAATTCTTTCTAGAATCTTTGCAATAAAAGGCAGTTTTGAAATTGGTCTAAAATTATGTGGGAGGGAGGGATCTAAACCAGGTTTCTTTAAAAGTGGGTTCACGCAAGCCGTTTTAAAATAATCAGGGACACAACCAGTAGATAGGGAGCTGTTGAAAACAGAGATCAAATGGGGCCCAACAGAATCTATTACTTTCAGTAAAAATTTTGTAGGTATTATATCAATTGGGCCGGAGGACACTCTCATTTGTCATACTGTTTTTAAAAGCTCAGACAAGTCGATGGGATAAAACTGGTTAAAACTCTCTTGTTGCTGGTGAGGGACCTCTGAGTAAGAGGCCACGGGGGTAATAGAGGCTCTGATTGACACCACCTTATTGGTAAAATAAGATAAAAACAATTCACAGTCATCATTACTTCCAGCTGAGGCACAAGGAGGGGTTGGGTTTACCAGCTGATCCACAGTCTTAAACAGAAACCTGGGATTGTGTTTATGTGTAGTAATGAGTTCAGAAAAATAGTGTGTTCTCGCATCCTTAACCATTTTATTGTAGTTAATTAATAAATCCTTCAGACTGAGGTAATGGACTTGGAGGCTGGATTTTTTCCATCTGCGCTCTGCTTTCCATGCATTCCCTTTTGAGGCTGCGAATGCTGTCATTTATCCAGGGTTGCTTACTAGCTTTAGACGTAGGCCTAACCTTTAGAGGAGCAGTAATATTTAGTGACGACAAGCAGATATGATTGAAGTGATCGACCAGATTGTTGGTGTTGGAATCAGACAGGTGTTGACTTTGGCTCTGAAAGAATGCGCAAAACTTTGAAACACTTTGTTCATTAAAGATGCGACAACACACGGAGCTTGGTGAGGCGGCATGAGTAACAGGTGAATCGCAGCTAAAAACAATACATCTGTGGTCAGATATGGTCATGTCCACTAATTCCACAATCAACACAGGTGTTCAACATAAATTAACTCAGGTGTTCAACAAAAACAGAAAGAAAACATAAATTAACTCAGGTGTTCAACAAAAACAGAAAGAAAACATAAATCAACACAGGTGTTCAACAAAAACATAAATCAACACAGGTGTTCAACAAAAACAGAAAGAAAACATAAATCAACACAGGTGTTCAACAAAAACATAAATCAACACAGGTGTTCAACAAAAACAGAAAGAAAACATAAATCAACACAGGTGTTCAACAAAAACATAAATTAACTCAGGTGTTCAACAAAAACAGAAAGAAAACATAAATCAACACAGGTGTTCAACAAAAACATAAATTAACTCAGGTGTTCAACAAAAACAGAAAGAAAACATAAATCAACACAGGTGTTCAACAAAAACATAAATCAACACAGGTGTTCAACAAAAACATAAATCAACACAGGTGTTCAACAAAAACATAAATTAACTCAGGTGTTCAACAAAAACAGAAACAAAAACATAAATCAACACAGGTGTTCAACAAAAACATAAATTAACACAGGTGTTCAACAAAAACAGAAAGAAAACATAAATTAACTCAGGTGTTCAACAAAAACATAAATTAACTCAGGTGTTCAACAAAAACAGAAAGAAAACATAAATTAACTCAGGTGTTCAACAAAAACAGAAAGAAAACATAAATCAACACAGGTGTTCAACAAAAACAGAAAGAAAACATAAATCAACACAGGTGTTCAACAAAAACATAAATTAACTCAGGTGTTCAACAAAAACAGAAAGAAAACATAAATCAACACAGGTGTTCAACAAAAACATAAATCAACACAGGTGTTCAACAAAAACATAAATTAACTCAGGTGTTCAACAAAAACAGAAAGAAAACATAAATCAACACAGGTGTTCAACAAAAACATAAATCAACACAGGTGTTCAACAAAAACATAAATTAACTCAGGTGTTCAACAAAAACAGAAATTAACTCAGGTGTTCAACAAAAACAGAAACAAAAACATAAATCAACACAGGTGTTCAACAAAAACATAAATTAACACAGGTGTTCAACAAAAACAGAAAGAAAACATAAATTAACTCAGGTGTTCAACAAAAACAGAAAGAAAACATAAATCAACACAGGTGTTCAACAAAAACATAAATTAACTCAGGTGTTCAACAAAAACAGAAAGAAAACATAAATCAACACAGGTGTTCAACAAAAACATAAATCAACACAGGTGTTCAACAAAAACATAAATTAACTCAGGTGTTCAACAAAAACAGAAAGAAAACATAAATCAACACAGGTGTTCAACAAAAACATAAATCAACACAGGTGTTCAACAAAAACATAAATTAACTCAGGTGTTCAACAAAAACATAAATTAACTCAGGTGTTCAACAAAAACAGAAACAAAAACATAAATCAACACAGGTGTTCAACAAAAACATAAATTAACACAGGTGTTCAACAAAAACAGAAAGAAAACATAAATTAACTCAGGTGTTCAACAAAAACAGAAAGAAAACATAAATCAACACAGGTGTTCAACAAAAACATAAATTAACTCAGGTGTTCAACAAAAACAGAAAGAAAACATAAATTAACTCAGGTGTTCAACAAAAACAGAAAGAAAACATAAATCAACACAGGTGTTCAACAAAAACATAAATTAACTCAGGTGTTCAACAAAAACAGAAAGAAAACATAAATTAACTCAGGTGTTCAACAAAAACAGAAAGAAAACATAAATCAACACAGGTGTTCAACAAAAACATAAATCAACACAGGTGTTCAACAAAAACATAAATCAACACAGGTGTTCAACAAAAACAGAAATCAACACAGGTGTTCAACAAAAACAGAAAGAAAACATAAATCAACACAGGTGTTCAACAAAAACATAAATTAACTCAGGTGTTCAACAAAAACAGAAACAAAAACATAAATTAACTCAGGTGTTCAACAAAAACATAAATTAACTCAGGTGTTCAGCGCCACACGTGTCTCAGGTTATCATTACAGTTGCTTGGTTGTTCCTGTGGAATACATGACAAAGGTCAATCATGATTTGATGCTCACAATCATCAAATTTAAGCATGCAGTAGCAATGTGCTGCTGAAATTGCTTTATAAAGGCTTCAATGAGGCTTCTCCTTTCTGAGCTAACCTTATTCTCTGTCTGTCTTTTTTGGATTTAACATCAGTCCCTATTTTCTTTTTTCTTCCCCTCTCTTTCTATTTTTTTCTTCTCCTACAAATTATCAACACTCCCGCTCCCAAACTCTTGTGAGGTCTTCAAACAGTTCTTTTTCAGCAGATGTTGCAGTTTTCAAGGCCTCTGACAGTCTGACCATTTCTAATGTTGACCATGGTGAGACAGAGAGCTCTTCCTTGGTGATGTCTCTGTCAGCACTCAGTCACATGTGAGAGCATTTTGGCTGAAGTTAATTTTCACTGTGAAGCCTTCTTGACCTTTTAAACTTTGTGCTGTTAGGTTCACAGTCAGGTGGTGTTGTCCTCTTTATGATTCGACTGTAGATGGTAGATGTGGTCTGACGGGCTGCGTCCTCAGCATTGGGAAGATGCTGACGTCAGTGGAGGTGGGCTTGGGCCTGTGATGCATCAGGTTGGAACGCCTCTCTGTATCACTGGTTGTTTGTGGCCCTCCCTCTCTTCCTCAGTCAGATTCTGCTGTGTCCATTTTGAAGCTGTTCTCTCGCCTTCTTCATGAAACTTCAGAGCTGCCATCTTGTCCATTGTAGCTCTGTCTCACTGTCATCATGTCTCATGGTTTGTTGTGCTCTGCAGGTGCCTTGGTCTGTAGGCAGACTGTTGCCTTTCTGCCACCTGTTTTAACTTTTCACTTCTTTGTTTGGGAGTTGTTGTTCTTTTTATTCATGTCTAGCTCTCGTCTCCTCCCTATCTATTATAGCCTCTCTTTTTCCATCTCTCCTTTATATCTGAACTCAACCCTTTAAAGACCCTAATTCTTTTTTCTTCTTCTTCTGCCTGTACTGGCCCTTGACTGCACTTACTTCTATCTTTCTTCCACTTGCTCTATACGTTTCTTCATCTGGGGGCATATCTATTTAGACCTTATCTTACCTTCCCTAGACAGATGTTGTTGGAGTAAGTAATTAATTATTAATTATTCCAACAATATTATTTAACATTCAAAACGTCATCATTGAATATAATCTGGAGTTTTGCAGAATCATCCGATAAATGTGTAAATGTTCTGTCAGGTCGGTTCTGTCACAGTAGGAGTTTCTTTTTAGCAGACAGGTAGGAGTTAACGGGGTGAAACAGAAGAGAGCAAGTAGACTTTAAAGCCAATCAATCTGTCATTATTAATCAACAATAATCAATCATTCTGTTAAATGAGAATTACATAAATCTTGAAATTTGGTGTGACAGAGGAAAAATATTGAATGAGGTCTAGGGGTATTCTCGACACAACGTAAAGGCGTGGCTCTTCCCATTCCCAAGCAAGGCCAGAACAAAGGAAATACAGTTTTATTATCTTCAGAGATGAGCAGTGCCCAAAACAACGACCAAAACACTCAAAGAAACCTAAAAGCTTCCCTAAACCAAAACCAAAATGTAAAGAAAAGACAAAGCTCTAAATTAGGCTTCTACTTTCAAAAACAGGACAAAAAGGGTGCAAACAAAAAGGACTCCTCATTCCTACTGACTGCTAGTAGCTGAACCAACAAAGCCACAGCAAAGACAGTTGGTACATAGCAAACAAAACGGTTAAAGCCAACAAAACAAGGTTGTCAAAGACAATCAGAGTTAAGCTACGGGTACTCAAAGTCTAACGTGTTCACTTACAAAGTCTAGTATGCTCACAACAGTTCTGTACGCACAATGAAAACAGACAGTACCTCGGCTTTCAGGGATGAGAACAGCTATCAGTGCAGGGTAGCGTTGTGTTGTTCAAATGTTTCGTTCATTTGACCTAATCTTGCATGTGACTCAGGAGGAACGGGTTGTCTTATTCGTTCATTTTCACGCATGCATGAAGGATCTTGGACTCTTACGTTCACTCGTCACACAGCAGCTTCCTGGGTTCTGTCAGCACAGGAAACAGTACTGATTAGTTCACGACTCATAAATGTGAAATGTAATTATATTTAACTATAAAGTGAATGTTCCTCCCAGAAACTGTGTGTAAAGCTGGATACAGTTTTCTTGGATGGGGCACTGTGGCGCATGCAGTCGATGTTGACTACCCGCTATACACAGCATGCTAGTGTCGAAAACCCAGCTGTATTCTAACGTTAACTTAGCTCTCCTTATTAGCTAGGCTCCTTACATGCTTGCTAATAACTTTTTAAGCTGGGTCTGATTTTGTGCAGCAGTATTCAGGCCGCCACAATTAAATGAACGTATGGGAAACACTGTAACTTATCTGCTCATTTTCAAAACTTTCTGTGTATCTGTGTTCTCTGACATGTAAAGAAAAAAAGTCGTAATATTACGAGACTAACGTCATTAGCCTATTTAAAGAGAATTCATAATATTTTACTACATGCCCTATACTGCATTATGTTACTGATTTGCTGAAAGTTTCCCCTCGACCGTCTGACACGGAACTGGATGAGACAGGAGATGCTCATGCTGGGGGGAAACAAAACTAACCTTCAGCACCTCTGATAAAGTGCTGCTTACAATACCCAACAGAGCAAATCAGGGCTTTAACCTTACATTTTTATAGCCTACTGAAACCACTGTATATGTCCGCTTTAGCGCAAACTGTCTGCAACTCACAGCGTGAGGTGGGTCCAGGTTACTCGCTGGTGTCACTCGCTTGCTGTCAGAGTGAGTCCGACAGCGGAATATCCCTCTTGTAAATGTGTAACCACTGTGATAACAAGACGTTTACGTAGTATTCCACAGTAATACCAAGAAAGAGAGCGTCAATTTTCCAGAGTTTACACAGTAAACGCCATGTGGGTAAAATTTTACAGATGATACTCTGACTTCCCGTTCCTGTGAAAACAGCACGGAGCTGCACCACAAGTAGCTGTCGGAGAAAAAATACACAGTCGCAGTGGACTAAACTGGCAGGTTTTAATGGTTTTTTTGTAAGTAGCTTAAAGTTTAAACTCGTATTGTTGTGAATCTTTGGTGTAAACTCGCCTTAGAATTTCCAACTAACAAACGCCCCCCAAAAGCAGCTCAGCGCCCCCCTTTCCAAAATATTTCCAACGCCCCCCATCGTCCTCGGAACGCCCCTGTTGAGAAACACTAATCCAGTGTGTTAAGCTTATTACTTCAGTATATTCCCCTGATGTTAATATATAGATTTTACTCGTAGATAGGGAAGTTAGGCTGCTGTATGAATGAGCACTTTAGAGATATAAAGATAGTAATTATAATTATATACATATATATGGCTGGTCTGGTAGTATAGCCTACTCAGGAAAGATTGTGAAAATGGACGGATTTAGCCGGAGTAGTGGCTTAATTGAATATTGACGACATATTTCTGTGGTTTTTCCATGGTTTGAATTTGGTTGTGGCTCCATGGGGCTTTATAGAACCATGATAGAGAAAGATCAAAAGGTGAATTTGTACATTATACTTGTCAATCAGAGCAAGCCAGGCAGCCTTCTGTTTTTTAAAATCGCCCACTAGAGGGCTGCAGCTCCGCAATAACCAGCCTAGTTAAAATGAACGAAATGACACACAAAAAAAACATTAGTTCATTTTAATGAACGAGATTTGGTGACTCGAGTCTGTCGAAAGAGTGACTTTCCAATCAATAGTGCAGGGTGAGAGCCATATGACACAGAGCACACACAGAACCATATGTTCTGTGTGTGCTTATATTCTTTATTTTTATATTCTGATTATTTTATACAAGTATTTTTTTACTCTTGTTGTCAACGTAGTAAAAAAAAATAAATTATGAATAAATTCCAATCAGCAGCATGTTTCATGAGCTGGAGACAGCGAGTGACTTCTGTCTGAGACCTGAATAAAGGGAGGAACGAGAAGCAGAACTGCTGCACAAATACTGTCCATCTACCAAATATTATCAGTCTGCATGTAGTTCGTGAAGATCCTAACTGAACAAGACTTAGACATTTACAGAAACTGGAGTTCACTGAACTAAAGCTGGTACACTGTAAATGTGAATATTTTTTAGCTAAAGTAAAATGTATAATGTGACCTTTGTATTTTTATGTTTGGGAGTCTGTATTTCTTTTTATTTGTTATTAAATATTTGTTTATTTGGGTTCTACGGTTAGTCACTGTGTAGCTGTTCCAATTTATTAGGAACACCTAAAACTAATGCAGTCTGACAGTCCTGCAATAAATCTCCTTCATGAACGTTTTAATGTTCAGAGAGTCGTTTAGTTGACTTCATGGACATTTTGGACAGAAACACGTCTCTGAAACAGTTTGAACTCAAACTGAACATTTAAACCTTGATGAAGGAGATTTATTGCAGGACTGTTTATTATTTTGTTTATTTATTACAGGATTGCTGCTCCTGCTGGCTGTGATATTTGAGTTCTCTGAAAGTTCATGTATGTTGATGTTTCTAACTGATGATGAACTTGTATCGTGTCATTTCCTGCAGAGCTGAATCATTTCTGTCCAAACGTTTGAATAAAACATGAAAAATGTCAAACTGTATGTTGTGGCTGTTTTTGATGTTTCAGTCTGTTCAAACTCTGAGAAAAGAAACTAAAGAGATTTTACTGTGTTGGACCGATTCTAACATGATCAATAATGTGCAACTTGTTTTTTAATAAAGACCTTTTACAGTGGTGGAATGTAACTAAGTATATTTACTCAATTACTGTACTAAACTACAAATTCAAGGTACTTGTACTTCACTTTTTTAATACTTTTTATAGCAAACAGACTCAAGCTCAAATGTTATCAGTACAGCAGTTTTGTATTAAATGGTATTTTCCATCAGTCCCAAGAAAAGGGAAGAGTCATATAAAGACAGAACCACCAGGGCATCGAACCAGGATCACCTCCAGTCCACGTCAGTCAGGATCCACCTTGTCCTCCAAGGGAGTTAAGACGACTCCATTTAGCGAATACAAACATAAAAAACATTGTGAGCTCATTGCACAAATACAGTAAATCACAAAAGGAAGACGGCGTGAATAAATTATAAATATAGTATTAGTAGACCAGAACCACGACAGGACAAGGTTTTCCATTCCGTCTATGTAATATTGTCATTCATGCGAACACAGCATTTGGACCAATACTTGTGGAATTTATTGATACAAAGTCTTAAAGACAAGGTCAGTTTCTCTGTTTAATACATTTATTATTTAGACAACTATTTCCAGTCTCTGCTCTGTTTCGTACATTTACTTTATTATCGATATCCACTCTTATATGTTTTGGTGGTTCCTCATCTCACCATTTATTGCTTTCTTGTTGGCTGCAAGTTATAATTAAAGAAGATATTTGTCTTGAGTGTGAAATTCATTACCCAACTACACTGAAAAAAGGGAGACTGGTCACCTGTTAGATTTATCAAATTATATTTAGTGTATTTTACTAAAGGGTTCTTAAGAGAAACGTGATAAAATTGTGTGGACTGCACATTTAAAGCAGAAAGTGTGAACAAACATATTTAGCTCATGTTGGGATAAAGTTAGTCAATCAAGTGAATGTATTAATTCTCATTTTTTCTCGCGATATTCACGCACGGGTGCAAATGCATTTCGGGAAGAAGAAAAAATAGTCCGCGCTTTTTCACACATTCCCACTTGCAGCTTCCAGCTCAACTCGCCCTGGGTCCATTCCACCGTCGCTCAGCTCAACTCTGTAAGTATACTTTGCTAATAGCCTGCTGGTAACCGCAATGAAATAAGGTGGGATTCCCATTTTCGAACAGAGCAAAGTAAATAGCAGATTTTACAAGATGAAAGTGAGACTAAAGCGGGGACCGCTTTGATCTTGACCGCTCGTTAAGCACCTGCAACAAACGGTTGCGTAGCTCAGAGTAACTTTACCAGTAAGAGAGAAACAGTAACGTTAGAGAGAGACAGCGTGCACCGTGTAATTTACAGACAGAATACAATAATGGTTCGACGAATTAGAGGTTTGTTGCAGCAAACTGAAATTGGGCATTTTTGGAACAAGAAGGTTTTGGTAAGTTTTATTTAGTTTATGTCGAATTTAAATAAAGTTTGTTTTAACTATGAGCTAACAAGGTAATGTTAAAGTAATTTGAGCTAACGTTAGTCATAGTTAGCCAGAGATACTTGATATCAGAATGTGTATGGTTGTATTTTCATGTTTACTGACTAACTAGGTTTAATTTATATAATCTATTGGTAACTGTAGAGATTAAAAAACAACTTTGGGGGCGGGGCGTGCAAACACCCAAAATACTGCTTTGCCAGGAACTGCATTAATGTTTTAATTTGGATGATACATTTTGAGTAAGTTCAACCTTTTAGAAAAGACAATGGATCACTTTATCTACAAATGGTACTACTAAAATGGTTCTTAGCTGTTCATGAAACAAGAAGGAAGAGTTTGACTTAAGTCTTATGACATAACATATAGTCTACTTTTTATTTCATGGTAACGTTAATTTATGTTGCTCTTGGTTGTTGCAGATGGACACTAAACTCACACTCCGTACATGTCATGTGGAATCAGCTCTTTCAGTGTGGGCTCACGTTTGTATGGTGAGTAATGTTCACATTATTTGCCCCACAGGGCAGGGTTCTGTAGTAGGGTATTCAGTGTTTCCCACAGAATGTCAGTCTAAAATGTTTTCATGCATTTTGCAACCATTTTTGAGTTATTGCCAGTAGTTACAACTTGTGCAACCTACAAATTTGACTACCTTTCATGTTTAAAAACAGGAGGGAGTCTGCAAAGGGAAATCTCCCAGAGGCCTGAGGGCTGTTTTGGCCTGCCATTAAATAATAACTTGACCAGACCCAGCTATAATTTAGCAAGTTTCTTTAAAAATTATAATATAGAAAGCAGGAGATTCCACGCATCTGCCGTCTCCTTGTCTTGTCTTGTCTCTCGGCCAAATATACGTTGGTGACCGTTAATAAGTTGTTGTTGAGAACTGCCAGGTAGGTGGCCACAAGTTTTAGCATTGGTGCATCTAAAGCCTTTTCAGATGGGGTGCGAGGCTCCGTTTGCAGACTGATTTGGATTTGCAGGGTCTCACTGCACTACTTATGTGAGCAGATATACAGTCCTTGTTAATATAACCTACCTTTTTTAAATGGCCAGTACAACCTATATTATGCAGTATTACACTTGACAAAAAGTGCTAACAGCCTCTAGTTATTGACTGAATCATTCAATTATGAGAGCTATATTTGATGAATTATGGCTCACACAGACATAAATAACCATTCTGAGGCTGCAATCACTTTTTTGCAAGAAGGTTAAGCTACGGTTTTTATATTGGTTGTATTTGCAATTTAAAGGGTCATTTTAATAATTAATATAAATTGTTGTAAAAGATATTTAAATAAATATATAGTTCTGCAGGCTTCATTATAAACACAGTGATCGGACAATACTATGACCAGCAAATGGTGATTGGCCCCGAAAATCCTGATAGGAGTACCCCTAGTATGTTTAGTTGTTGTTGTTTGATATTTCATAATTTGACAGCATGTTTATTTTTAATTAGAAATACTTATATTTGTGATAACTTTCTTTGATTTATCCTTATTTATTTTATTTTTTCTTTTCTTTTTCAGTGACGAGAGGAAAAAATGCTGTGAATGTGGCGTTGTAAAGCCTGCCCCTCAGATTTACCAAGTAGGTCCCATGTATTAGTATCCAGAATTGCATTGTCTTTTAGGACTAAACGTTGAACTGTTGCCGGTGTTCTGACCATCTATGTTGCCTTGCTGAAAAATGCATTTTACTCGGCCCTGCTCCGTTTTCCATTGCAGATAGCACCCAGAGATAGCAACGCCACACACAACTGCTGCGACGTAATGTTCAATGCGACACACACACCAGCGATCCACACAGCTCTTAAAATATATACAGTCTGCGGTTAAAACATTTGAATAGTCCTCAGAATGTAAAGACAGATAAGCGGTATGAAAACCTTCCAGCTGTGTTTTCCTCTGCCGTTGTTGCTGCAGCGGTCGGTGTGATGGCGCAGCAATCCCCACAGTCACTTGCGGAGCTCCTCGACTCAGAAAATATTCAAGCCATTTTTGTTCCGCCATCACTTCTTGTAAAACTGTCAATATTGGAAATCTACACAGCTGATTTCTCACCTCCAAAACTTCTCAGAAGTGGATTTAGTGATGAAATTCCATACGAAAACTGTAAAATATAAAACTTGGTGCAGCAATGATGCAGTGAATAGTGAATATTCTCTCTGACCAATCAGCAGTCTGTCCTGTTTTCACGTTACATTTTAGTATCCCTCAGCTCACTTGAAACCTCAACGGAGGTGAGGTGATACGAAAAAAAGTACCTGGAAGCAGGTACAGGTGCAACATTTCTACAATGGAAAACCAAACAAAGGCGAGTTGAGCCAAAGGGCCTCCGCTCAGACTAGCTTGGTTTGAGGGCGTGCCTGACCCCGCTAGCCGCTTGGCAAGCTTTATAACGCGTTTTCATTGTGACATCACAAGTAAAGGAAGTGAAGGGCTGAACTACAAATGAGCTGTTTTCAGTTCAGAGCAGAGTTTTCTGTGGGAGATGGGAACTCCCCTTCGGCTGTTACATGCACAAAAATATATAACTCAATAAAGAGAGGGGAAAAGCCAAAAAGCATAATATTACCGCTTTAAAAGATGCCCTATGTCCTAATGAGGTCTGAGTTTAAATAATTGTCCTTTCTTTTCACCAGGAAATGGCTGAGACCCATTTCTTCAAAGCCATAGAGATGACGACTGTGGGGATCTATGTCGTGAAAGACACTGCCACCAGCGAACCCTCTGACGTTGGAATAGTCATCGAGGGTGTGGTGGCACTTCGAGATCTTGAGAATGTAGCCCTTGCGTCTGCAATGTTGTTTGGACTCTTGTATGCATTCAACATGCAGTAACCTACAAAGCTCTGCTACACTTTTGAGGTAATTCAGAAGATAATCATGGAGCTGGATGCGGGGGACCTGTCAAGAAAGGCTCAAAGCCTGAAAACTATGCTCCACCAGTGAAGAGAGCTCATTGTTCTTGGCTCTTCTGGATTAGGACATGATTTTTGGCAAAGTAATAGTCTCCAACTCTACATTCCTGGACTCACTGGTGTTGCAACATGGTTTTGGGACTACCAGTCCAGTGATATTTTTCTTTTACAGTTATGATTACTTCACAGCACCAGGAACATGTGAATTTTACCATTCCATGTGTTTAAATTTAATACATTGTTCAAAAACCCTTATTTTCCCATAGAATATTTAGAGTGCATTGTTTTATATATAGAGTCTGCAGTTCAATTTTAGAAATGACCTGTTTTAGACAACAAAGCTACACCAGGGAAGGGGGCTCAATGTATTTGTCTCCTGGTTTGATCAGGACATGACTGTTGAGATGCACCTTTTCATCGTTTAGCTACAGTTTACATTCCTTGACTGAGTGATGTTGCAGCCTGGTTTTATTTGTTTGTTCCCCAATCCAGTGAAAGTCAAGCTGTACAGTTTTGATTACAGTACCATGCACATTTGAATTTAACCATTCCATTTTATTATGTTAATATATAATGCATTTTTCATGTATGTATATTTGTTTTTATTGATGCAGATGCATTTTGGAAATGCAATTGGGATTTTACCATTCCATTTACCATTTTACACTCTGGAATCTGTTATTATAGCATGGTTCAAAAATCTTAAGCTTCCCACAGTACATTTAAGGTGTTTCTTGATGTTTAGTTTTTTTATAGATGCAGATGCATTTAGAAAAAGCTGTTGTATGTATGTGTTCTTAGCTACAGTATGCAGTACACCCCAGGAAGCAGTGTTTCAGGCCTGGTGTTAGTACCACAAAGTTTTACACTTTGTTAAATCTTGACATCCCCATGGCATAGTATGGTGAACATATAATTTTGTAAACTCAGCACCATTTCTTTCTAGCCACACACCTGTGAAGCACATTCATTTGTTGAATAAAAGGTCAGAATTTAACGGACTCAGTTTTTAATGAAAATATATTGTTAGTGTTAAGACTAGTGAAGTTGTGAAATTTTAATGACGATATATTTGATAATTGTTTTTCTTAACTAATTTGTTTGTGAAGTCATCCAGGTCATGGTTATCCAAGAAAGGTTGAAATCAATGGCAACCTGACTGGCTAAAGTTTCTTGAAGACGTTTCACTTCTCGATTAAGAGGCTTCTTCAGTTGTGGCTGAATGGTAGTTGTTCAATCAGAACTAAATAAGCCTCTCAGATGAGAAGCAAAACCCCTTCAAGAAACCTTAACCAGTGCCCTTGCCCTTGATTTCCACTTTCCTTGGTTAACTGTAATTTATTTTATTAATACATACATTTAGAACATAGAAATTATAATTTAATTTCATGTGAAAAGAATATTTACAATAATCCCATTTCATTAACTTTATAGCAATATAAAGTACTTGTGTTGATTGAGCATGAATAGTCTGTATTGCTTGAACGTGAATAATCTGTGTTGCTTGAACGCAACTGTGTAACGGGATACCAAAGCAAAAAAATTGTGTGCAACCGATGTCCACTATTCAATTGAGTAAATCCAATGAATTATTTTTTCAGTGTATACAGCATGGTGCCAAAACTATAATCAATCTGAAAACACATTATCGGTTTTATTTCCTTTATTATCTCCAGCCAATAGGATTGGATTACTGGACTTTTCCAAAATATGTGAAAAGAATCAGCCATTGAATTGTTAAATTGTCTCGTCTACATTAATATGTTCCTCTTTTGGGTAATAACTAAAAACCTAATAATGTTTTTCCATGACATTTTCTCCATTGGCCAGAACTGGAGGTGGTGGATTGTATTTTACATATATTTAGCCACTCTTCCTCCATCAGGGTTATGTTTGCTTCCTTTTCCCATTTCCCTTTAACTTAAAGAGTAGAGTGTTTCTTTGATCGTATGCAGGAGTTTAATCTTGATACCAGTTTCCTGCAGATGCATCAATATAAAACTTTGATCAGTTCAGTTTCATTCTGATTTTAATATTTCTACCAAAGTGATGCCTAAGCTGTAGGTATCTGTAGAAACCCCGTTTACCTAAGTCGTGTGTGTCGGTAAGATGTTGAAAGTTTTCCTGTATTGGTTCAGATGAAGCGGTTATGAAATAAGGCCTTTTAAAGTCCACCCCAACGAGGCCCCTACACATAAGCACCTTAAGGAGCAGTTCCTGCTCGGCCTAGCAGAGGGCGCCCTGCTGCAGGTGTTATAAGTTGACTCAAGGGTTGACATATTTTAGAACAGATTTACTCTGAAAGAATAAATTAAATACACGATGGTGAGTTGGCTGGTCCTCAGTTGTTTTACTTTTTTCTTGTGGTAACTGCCAACTACATAATACAAAAATCACAATTTGATATTAACATCTCAATATATCAAAATATAGTAATAACTATGCATTCCCTAAATAAACAGACTCACAATAAACACAGAATAGGCTGTTATACAAAAGTAAACTTCTATATTGGATATTAAAAGTGCTCATTCTCTATCATTCTAGTATCTACAATTATAAAATTACAATTCTGTTTCTTCAGTCACAAAACAATTACATTAACGATCAATCTCTCTCATTCGTCCTGTTTGTTTACATATGACATAATGCAACATCCCAGCAATCAATAGCCGTCATTTCACTGTCTAGGTTTACTATAGACCTGATTTAGTCCGGCTATGAGTAACCCTTCTAGCCACAATAACCTTACATGTGGTTACATGATGTTTTTGCCAAAATAACTTGCAATGTGTGTGATATTCCATCATTTAAGCAAGGTCTACAGTGATTACAAGTTTTTGTTTCATTTCTTTCACATGATTTACGTGCAGCCTGTGCGTAGACATGATTTAGCTCGTAGACAGACTCTTAGTCAAAAAAGTCAAACATGATTAAAAGTGGGTTTTTGCCCTGGCAGCACGTGAGATGGTTGATATCCCATTATTTTTGCAATGTCAATAATATCTACAAGATATTAAGCATCATTAAATTGACATGGTCTACCTGTAGCCACGATTTTGAGGAACTGTTGCGTAGCTGCCAACATATGGAGCCTGGACGTGGCTATGTAGTGGCAAAGGGTCTTTTACAGTAGCACTTTGGCAATCATTATAAAATTGCAACAGCTTATATTGAAAGGGCTTTGACTTGGCGACCAATACGAGCTGAGGACGTAAAGGCCCTTCAAGCCTACTCCTTATTCTTGTGTATAGTACAGTACATGCAGGAACTGGATATGCCTGTTAACATGAGAGCCATTATTGCAAAGCTGCCATTCAAAGTAAGAGAGCAATGGAGGACCATGGCTCATGACATAATGAAAAGAACTAACCATAAAGCTCATTTTGAGGATTTGGTCACATTCATGGAGCGTCGTGTTAGTATTCTTTCCGACCCTCTGTTTGGCAACATACAGGATTCACAACCCGACGTAGCGGGTATGAAGACTCTCACCAGGTTTAAATCCCAGCCCAGGAACAGAATAACTGGAAATATTGTTGCCACCACAGTAACATCTAGGCACTTGTCTGAGGGAGAAAAAGAGCCAACATTGCCTCCAGGGAAGGAAAGGAAAGCTGGATGCCTTTGCTGTGCTCGTAGTCACCTGTTGGAAGAATGCAAACAGTTCAGTGGAAGGAAGCACAAGGAAAAGATCTACTTTTTGAGGGAAAAGGGAGTTTGCTTTGCATGTCTAGGTCATGGTCACATGAGCAGGGATATTGACAGGCGCTTGACATGCAAAGTTTGAGGCCAAACTCATCCCACCGTGTTGCATATCAAAAGGCAAATAACAGCTATGGTACAGTTGGAGGAGCCATCTAATAACCAGCCAACTTCGCAGGAAACATGTGGACATACAGAAAAGGTTCCCTTTGTGTGGTGTTCGACTGTGGAGCCACTTGTAAAGGGGTCTCGCTAAATAGTGAGCTTTTGCAGGGTCCTAACCTCACCAGCTCGCTGCTAGGAGTTCTAACTCGCTTCAGACGGGAACCCGTGGCTTTCATGGGCAATATTCAAGCCATGTTCCACCAGGTGAGGGTGGCTGAGGGAGACAGAGACTTTCTGCGCTTTCTGAGGGAGACAGAGACTTTCTGCGCTTTCTCTGGTGGCCAGATGGAGACATCAGTGAGGATTGTGTGGAGTTTAGAATAACGGTACACCTGTTTGGCGCTGTTTCGTCCCCCAGTTGTGCAAGCTATGCACTGAGAAGAACTGCTGATGATAATAATTCTGAGTTTTCAGCTGAAGTTCTTCAATGCGTTAAGCATAATTTTTATGTGGATGATTGCTTGAAGAGCTTAGCCACAGATAAAGAAGCTATCCAGATGGTAAGGGATCTAATTGCTCTGTGTCGAAAGGGAGGCTTTATCTTGGAGAAATGGATAAGCAACAGTCGCATCGTCTTGCAAGCCATAGCCGAAGATCAGAGGGCTAGAGACCTTAAGGAGTTGGATCTAGACCGAGATAAACTTCCAGTAGAAAGAGCTTTGGGTCTACAATGGTGTGTGGAGATAAAACAACAGCCTCTTACTAGACGGGGTATGTTGTCAGTTAACAGCTCAGTGTACAATCCGCTTGGGTTTCTGGCATCTGTCACTTTGCTTCCTAAATTAATGCAGCAAGAACACTGTCGGAGACGTTGTTCATGGGATGATGCTCTGCCACAGGACATCTTGCGCAAATGGGAAAGGTGGTTGAAAGACCTGGATCTGCTGACTGCCTTTAATGTGGATAGGTGCATTAAGCCAGTGAATTTTGGAGAGGTCAGGCATGCGAAACTGCATCACTTTGCTGATGCCAGTGAAGGTGGATATGGGACTGTAACCTACATCCGGATGTTAAATCAGGAAAACAACATCCAGGTCACATTTCTGCTTGGTAAAGCCAGAGTGACACTACTGAAGGCCCCGCCTTGAGCTGACAGCAGCTGTCCTTGCTGTCAGAGTGGACTCAATGTTAAAGGCGGAATTGGACTTGCAGTTGGAGGAGTCAGTATTCTGGACTGACAGCATTTCAGTGTTAAAGTACCTTAACAATGAGGACAGGCGCTTCCATTCCATTCCATTTGTGGCCAACAGAATCTTGACCATCAGAGAAATATCTGAACCCTCACAGTGGAGACATGTTGGTTCTAAAGATAATCCAGCGGATGATGCATCGAGGGTCTGAATGTCTCTGACTTTTTGAAGAAAACCACGTGGCTTGAAGGTCCTTTTTTTCTTTGGCAGCAGGAGGAAGATTGGCCTAAACCTGTGTCTGAATTGTCGTTGGACTTAAATAATAATAATAATAATAATCCTTATTTGTAGAGCACTTTTCAAAAACAAGTTACAAAGTGCTTTAACAAGTGTAAAGAATAATACAAAAAAACAAGATAAGAGCATGAAAACATTGAAAAGACTAAAATACCGATTAATATGAAATTAGTAAAATAGAATAAAATAAAAGGGATAAAATAAAGTCAAATAAGATCGGGAAAGGCTCTCCTATAAAAGTATGTTTTAAGAAGGGACTTAAAAGAGTGATTTCCTCGGGCAGGCTGTTCCAGAGCCTCGGGGCCCTGACAGCAAACGCTCTGTCCCCTTTAGTTTTCAGTCGAGACTCTGGAACAGACAACAGACCTCTGCCCGAGGATCTCAAGGTACGTGCTGGTGCGTATGGGACTAAAAGGTCAGAAATATAACAAGGCGAGAGGCCATGAAGAGCTTTAAAAGTGATCAATAGAATCTTAAAGTCAATTCTAAAACATACTGGGAGCCAGTGTAATGAAGCTAAAATAGGAGTAATGTGGTCATATTTCTTTGTTCTGGTTAAAAGCCTGGCAGCTGAGTTCTGGACAGTCTGGAGTCGATCAATAGATTTTTGGGTTAAACAGGTGAAAAGGCTGTTGCAATAATCCAGGCGTGATGAGATGAAGGCGTGTAAAATGGTCTCGGTGTCCTTTATGTTAACATA